GGCCCAGCTGCCTCCCTGCTGGCAAATCACTCGCCAGTGTCTGGGGACATGTGACCGAGGGGCCAGGTGGCCTGTCCGTGGGCAGTGAGTTAGCGTGCTTGCGCCTGCTCCTGAAACCCCAGCTGGGCCTCTAGCCTTGGGACCGGCCCGGCCGGGATGGACTGTGTCTGGATTGAGGGCTCAGCAAATTCCCCGCTGCTTGGCACAGTTTTGTGCTAAGTGGGGAGACTTCGGGGCAACTCCTCCAGCCCTGTGGCCCCAGCGTCCCAGGAGACACTGTTCTCTGGGAAGGCAGCAAGTGGGGAGCCCAAGGAGGGAGGAGAGGCGGGACTGAGCAAGCTGGGCCTCCATTAGGGAGAAGACAAAGATGGTCTCTTAGGCCATGGTGCAGTTTAGGGGAGCCCGGCTCCCCCTAGCTCCACCAAGGCAGACCACATCCCAGGAAGCGTGGCTGCTGCCGGACACATGTGTGCATAGGGGGCCACGTGGGGACGGCAGTCATCACATCTGGGCATCAGGCATCTCCGGCTGACCGCCGAGTGGGGACATGGTCAGAGTCCAGCCCGGGTGGGCCTGCAGGTGAAAGCTGCTGGGATGGGCCTGCCGGCCCTGCCGCCCACTAGCGGGCTGGCCCAAGGCCCTGCTGAGGCGCTTCCACCACAGCGACAGCAGAGCCAGGCCAAGGAGACCCTCCCCGTGCACAGCAGACCGCGGGCCGGGGCATGAGCATGGCCGCAGGTCTCCGAGGAGGGAGCCGTGTCCAAGGGGCCAACGTGGGTTGGGAGGGAGCTGACCTCTGAGATGGTTTGAGCGACAGAAGGAACCTGCCAGGGCGAGGGACAGCTGTGCAAAGGCCCCAGTGGCCCTTGGGGAGTCGACGGGGCCGGGGGGTGGGCGGGGTGGGCAACACAGGTTGGCTCACTCCACTCCACAGTGTGGATCTCACATTCACGCCCCATGTCAGGTGGGGTCTGAGCCAGGGGTTACACCTGGGCAGCCAGGCATTTGGCCGTGTGCTCGGTGCTGCTTAGTGGGGACACATCTGTTTGCCGGGGGCCCTGGCGAGTGTTTTGCAAACAGCTTTCTAGGGGAGCCCTGAGATGTGCCGGAGGCTGTGGTATAAGTGCACCCCATGCCCCGTCCCAGGCTCCCCGCACGGCGTCACTGCAGGCAGTGCTGGGAAGGGGCACGCCTAGTACGCAGGTAATTCCGAGAACGTGGACGGCAGCCCTGCTGGTGGGACGTGAGGCTTATCCGTGCACTTAGTCCCTCTCCCTGTGAGAACTCCCTTTGTCATAAAGCAAACAGTTCCACTTTCAAGACCTCCGTGTTTGCAGCTGGCCTGCAGAATTCCTGGAAACTGAAGGCCGCTCTGGGCCGGCACGGGCTGCTCAGCCATCCTCTGTTGTGGCCCATGAGGCCGCCATCTGCAGTGTCCCCAGGAGGGAGAGGTGGACTGGACCAGAGGGGAGGGGCGGCCGGTGGTGGCTCCCTGGCTCATACCCTGCTTACCGCAGCTGCGCTGGGCTCCCCTGTGCCCCTTTCCCGCTGCCCAGAGAGGGTCTCATGAGGCCAAACCCCTCTGAGGACTCGCACAGCACATCTCAGTGAAGTGTTTGCTGACTCAATAAATAGTGTGACTGGTGGGGTGGAGGGGCCATCTCTGGATACATTTCTGAGGACCTATCTGCTGAGAAATAAATCTCATCTTCCCCTGATGGCTGACTGTGCCCTTTTAAAACTGTCTCTGGAGCTGCCCATCCTCCCTCTGTCTTCTGCCAAATTTCCTTACAAATGGGCTCCCGTACCCCTTCTCCTGCCCCCTAAGGAAGCCCTGGCAGCCCGCTACACTGGAAGCCTCTTGTATATGTGGGCCTGGGCTTCAGAGCCACCAAGCTCTCCAGCCACGTCCAGTTTGCTGCCCGGTCAGGATAGTCAGTGTCCAAAGGACATACCCCCTCCTTGTTCCCATGGGTGAGGCGAAGGGCCACCATGTTCCTCTCCCGCTACCCCTCCCCTCATGCTGTTCCTTTGCAATTCCATCACACGGCTTTCTCAGCTGAAGGACTGGCTCTCTGTGGTTGGGGACCCCCTCTTCTTTTGGCCTGGTGTCCAGTGGGGGCCGGCCCAGAGTGTACTTGAGGAGGGAATGAACATGTGTGTGGCTGAGACTGGCTTGTAAATGGGGGTTGAAGAGCCCGAGATCCTGGGAGGCTGAGCACCTGACTAGGCTCCTGCTCGGAAATGCTGTGTGTTCTTAGGCGAGTCGCCTAACCTCTGTGTCCTTCTGTTCTATAAATCAGGCTGTTGAGAGAACACAGGTATGAGATGATGTTTGCTGTACTCAGTGAGCATTTCTCAATTTTATCTGTATAATTGTGTTGCCTGCTGGAGGCTCAGTAGCTGATTGCTTGTCCAGGACTCCCTTACGGATTAGAATTAACCATAGGTCTGGTCAGGCTCTCAGCAGAGCTATGCTGTAATTTGGGGGCACGTTCCTCATTGGCCTGTGCAGGAACCCGACACGGGCCTGGCAGAGCGCAGGTGGACACTCACGGTGTGTGCCAGTCACTTGAGTCGAGTCTGGCTCCTGGCCCTCCTCCAGGCTCACGGTGTCATCTGCTGTCTGCCCCGAGGTCCCAGCTATGTTTCGTGCAACAATTTTGAGTGGGGTCCGGGACCCAGCATCAGTGGCCTTCCTGGGGAGCTGCCTAGGAATGCAGAGTCTCAGGCCGGGCCCTGGGCCTGTGGCGTCAGGACATTGTTTCCCTGGTACCCCTGAGTGACCTGTATGTGCATGCAGCTGAGGGGGCTGGTCTGGAGCAGGTGGGCTGCAGCTGGCTGGCGCCCCTAGTCTCGGGCGCGCTCTGTGGCTTGGGAACCGGTTTCACTGGCTGGCAGCTGTACCTGAGCTTCACCTCCAGGCTGCTTCATGCTGCCTGCCAGGGGGCTCACGGAGCAACTGTCCAGTCATTGCAGAGACCAAGGGACCCCACCCAGGCTCCCAGTCTAAAGCTCTGGTTCCCCGCTTGCCTCTTGGAATAACTTGGAAATTTTAACTACTGGGCTTTACCCCAGTATTCTGCCCTGATTGGTGTGGGTGGGACCTGGGCATCATGACTTCCCGGGCCACTCCTTAGTGGTCTATGTGTGTGCCACCCCCATGCCCCCTTCAGGGAAACCCCAATAACTTTGCTTTGGCTGTGCCATTGGGAGGGCACCCTGGAGGCGCTGAAACTGCAGGCCAGTGCCTGGCGCACACACCCCAGCTCTTTTTACGGCCGGTGCTGTGATGTGGGTGACTGTGGGGCGGGGGTTAGGGGCCTGCTGGGCCCTAGCCAGCGCTCGGAGAGCCTTGAATGGCCAAGGGTGGGGATGCCGCAGAAGCCCATCCCTGAGTCCCGGGGTCACGGCAGGTTGCCTTTGTCATCACCAGAGGCGCTGGGTGACAGATGCGCTGTGCGGTGACTAGGGACATCAGTGGGGCGCCTCAGTGAAGGGTGTCTCGTGGGCGCCCACACCCTCTGTGGGGCTTTTCAAGAATATGGCAGGGAGGATCACCTGCTGGAGGCTCTCAATTCAGGTGGGGTGCGGGGTGCAGGCCAAGTCACAGTGCGTGGGTGCTGTGAGGGGGCATGTGCTTCTGCCAGACATTCTGGGGGCAGGCAGTGCCCTGCTGGAACACCCTGTGCTGTGGCTCAGGAGCTGACCCCTAAGCCTGGGACCCTGGCCAGTGCTGGGGGAGGGGTGGGGAAGGCCTGGCCAGTGCTGGGGGAGGCCTGGCCAGTGCTGGGGGAGGGGTGGGCAAGGGGTAGCTGCAGCTTGGAGGGCCCTCTGCCTGGGCGATGCCACAGGCCCCACAGGCCCTGCAGTTGGAAAGCCCCAACCCTCCTGTGCCCTGGCCTTGGGGCTCCTGCTGTGTGGAAGTTAGGCCAGTCTGACAGGTGAGGGAGCCGGCCACGCCAGGCCCCCCAGACCCTGGGTCCTGGTACCTAATTCCTGTTGGCCCCCCTCTGCCCAGGCCAGGGCCCTGTGGAGTTGGACCCTCATTGGAAGCAGCTGGAAGCCTCTCCCTCCAGTACTGCAGGGCAGCCCTCCCCTGCCATCCTGCATCCTGCTGGGGTAGCTGTGCTGTAGGGGTTCCACACCCCCCACACACACCCCCACAAACAAATCAGGGGGCCTTGGGGAAGGGGAAGGTCTGGACCAGGAATGCTGCTTTGTCCCAGGGTCCTAGAATACCTCCTGTGGGCTGCCAGGCAGCAGCCAGCCTTGGGCTGTGTTGGGGGAGGGGGTTGGGGTAGCAGGGCTGTGTTGGGGGGAGGGAGCTGGCCAGGTGGCCTCTAACCAGCCTGCAGGGCTCACACAGCTATGGGCTCTGACGGGCTGTGTCCATTCTTAGCCCAGTGGGATGGAAAGAGGCTGGGGTGTGGCGGCTTCTGCGGCAGGGAGAACCCTGAGAATCTTGTGTGTCTTACAAGAAACCAGGTGGGCAGAGGAGAAGTCTGGCGTGGGAGCAGGAGAGGCTCTACCCTGCCTGCCTGCGAGGGGGCAGCCAGCCAGCCCTGCCTCACCTGGTAGGAGATGAAAGCACAGCAGCACCCTTGATCTCTGTGGAGGCGGCCTGCTCTCCTCCCTCTGGGGCCTGACGGGAAGGAAACCAAGCTAGAGCGGAGCCCAGGCCTCATCCCCAGCACAGCACCCTCAGATGGGCAACTGGGGACACTCCGCCAGCCCATCTTAGGGACATGGAGAGTGAGGCAGGGAGAGGTGACTGGGCTCTGTCCGGGTGGGGCCGGGGTGTCAGAGGTGTGTCCCGCAGCTCCCTGCGCACCTGCCGCGGCTGAACAGGCGCGGCCTCTGCCCAGTCACATTAGCAAGGTCCTGGCTGCGGGCTCCCACTTGGCGCCCTCCGCTCCCGGTGCGGTGCTGCCAGGTGCCAGGTGCTGCCTCACCTGCCCTCTGTGTTCTCTCTCCCGTGCGCTCCTGGGACCTGGCAGCAGCAGCAGCAACAGCAGCAACAGCAGCAGCAGATGCCCCGGAGCAACCAGGAGGAGAAAGATGAGAAGGAGAAGGAGGCCGAGAAGGAGGAGGAGAAGCCAGACGTGGAGAACGACAAGGAGGAACTGATCAAGTAAGGCCGAGGGGCTGCCCAGCGCAGCCGGGTGGGCAGGGGCGTTTGCTCCTCCAGACCCGGCCCCCTTGCAGAGGTGCGGCGTGGAGACTTGGCGATGTGGCGTCTACAAAAATTGCCTGCCGGGAAGGGAAGCATTTTCTGCTCTGTCTCTGACAGCCCCCTTCCGGAAGCCCACGCCTCCCCCCTCCCTCTCCCCTCTCCCCGTCTGTCTCAAACCCTCTGTAGGCCTCAGAGACTGATAGCGCCTTTGAGCTCTACTCCTGAGCTATGAAATCCGGCAATGACTTTGGAGCTCTGCCGTGATCTCCCTCCCCTCCTGTCTCCCCAGGGGCTGGCGGGGAGGGCTTAAGGGGGGAATCAGAGGCGCTCCGAGGACTGGTAGGCAGGCAGGCTGGCGCCTCATCTTCGGAGGTAGCCATGCCCGCCGCGTGAGTTCAGGATCAAGGCAGGGCCCCCGAGGCGAGGCCGTGACAGCCTCCAGCGCCTGGCCTGCCCGGGGTGAGTGCAGCCTGGTGGGGGGGCGGGCACGCCATGCCAGGTACCTGGAATGGGCTCAGGAATGTGGCTTCAAAGAACATCTGGCTTCCTTGCACCCCCGCTCTGGGCCCCAGACGTTCCAGCAAAGCCTTCAGGAAGATGAATGGGAAGGCGGAGGTGATAAATCTAAGGAGGTGATAAATCTAAGCGGCCCCGCAGTAAACGCCCCGAGTAGACGCCCAGCACCTGCTTCTGAGAAAGCTGGGACTGAGGTCGCATGTGCCCCCACACACCTGGCTGGGAGTCCTGGCCCACGCACCCAGCCCACAGTGGCCTCGTTCACGGCTGCCAGCCATAGCCGGGCAGTGCGTCGGGGTCTCGCAGACAGACGGCAGAGAGGTGTCGTGTGTGGCGTGGGAAACAGTCTTGGGGTAGCCAGCCCCTCACCGCGCGGGAGTGAAACAGCCTGGGTTAGCTACCTGCAGCCCACGCCCCCTTCTGGAGACCCGTCATGAGGCCACCAGCACGCGCCTGCGTTTTGCTAAGTAGCTGGTCCCGCAGCCCACATTCCCCTGCGTGGCCGCGGCCCCTGCCCTCAGCCCGTCCCTCTTTCCAGCATCTAATTTGTCCTGCAGAGCTGGTGGCCAGATCCCCTCCTCCCCCTTTCCTCCACCCCGCCCTGCTGCTGAAAAGCAGGTCTCCTGCAATTGCTGCCCTGTCACCCCGCTGGCCTTTAGAGAGAAGACGGATGACACCTCTGGGGAGGACAATGATGAGAAGGAGGCAGTGGCCTCCAAAGGCCGCAAAACCGCCAACAGCCAGGGGAGGCGCAAAGGCCGCATCACGCGCTCCATGGCCAACGAGGCCAACAGCGAGGAGGCCGCCACCCCCCAGCAGAGCGCCGAACTGGGTGAGCTACGGTGGGGGCTGCGGGCAGGGGGTGTGGGCTGGGGCAGGCCCTTTCTGCCCTGCATCCCAGGGTCCTGTCTGCACGGGGCGAGCCCTTCAGTGACATTGTGGGCGGGAAGAGTCACCGCAGAGGGGCAGGGACTCTCAGCCCTCGTTATCCCGGAGCAGGACAGCTCCTGTGAGAGCCCAGGTGCTGGCTTTGTTTTTAAAGCAGGAGGTCTGGCTGTTCTTGGCCAGCCAGTGGCTACAGCTGTCCCCCTACTATAGGTGTTGGGGGTACCTGTCTGGGTTTCTCCTGCTCACAGGCATCCACCCCCCAGGGGCTCCGACTCCCAGGGCCTGGAACAAGCAGAACCAAGTAGCAGTTCCCAAGTTCAGCCACAGGGGGGCAGCCGACTTGTGTCTGTCCTCTGTACCATTTTGGCTCCTCTGGCCCCCTGGCCCATCCAAGGGCCCGAGTTGCTTGGGCAGAGGCCCAGGCACGGGGATGACTTCCCAACATGGAATGTGGTGGAGGTGATGTTTCCTGTCTCCCAACTGTCCACCTTCCTCACACCTATGCCATGCTGGGTACCTGATCATGGAATGTGGTGGAGGTGATGTTTCCTGTCTCCCAACTGTCCACCTTCCTCACACCTATGCCATGCTGGGTACCTGATCATGGAATGTGGTGGAGGTGATGTTTCCTGTCTCCCAACTGTCCACCTTCCTCACACCTATGCCATGCTGGGTACCTGATCTGTCTCCTGTGGCAGGTAATCTGTACCCACTTCATAGATGGACAGTTGGGGGCTTAGAGTTGCCTCCATAAAGTCACAGAGTGAGGCAGGATCAGCTCCGTTAGCCACACATCCCTGGTGGCCCCCCAGGCTTCTCCCAGCCGTCCCTAGGTGACGGTGTGATTGGATGCTAGGGCAGGAGGGCTTCCAGAGCATGCTGGTGTGCCTGGCTTTTGGGGAAGCTCCTCTGGCCCTCCAGGCTGATTTTGGAGCTGGTCTCTAAGGTGGACAACAAGCCCTGGGCGTCCAGTAGGAAGGAAGCAGGAACGGTGGTAAGCCCTAGAGGTGGGCCCCAGCAGGGGCGGGGCTACCCCTTGGAGTAAGGGTGTTATTCCCTCTCCTGATCGAACTGCTCATTCACCTTCCCCACCCCGCCCTGTCAGAACCTTCTTCAGTGGTCAGCCAGCTTTTGTCAAGTGCACATTCTGGGCCAGGTGCTGTCCAGCACCCAGTCCAGGAAGCTGGCCGGCATGAGGCTCCCCCTCAGGTCACCCTGGGCCACCCTGGGGAGCCTCAGGAGAGGAAGGTTCACAGTCCTGTCCTGACAATGCCTGGGTCACTGTCCTCAACGCCAGGCCGGCCCTTCCCACATGACAGGCGAAGCCCACCCTGGGTGTGACCGGGGTGTCCAGTCTCCGCGGGGCAGGCTTGTCGCCCCGAGGATGATTGGCGGTGCTACCGCTGGAGTGGAGGCCCTGACTTCAGAGGTGGAAGCCAGGGATGTCACTGGCCACCCCCCAATGCCGCCGTGAGGCCATGCTCACCTGAAGTGCCCACCCCTGTGTACACACTCACCGTGGCCCAGTTGGGAGCACAAGAGGCAGCTGTCACCACCCAGCTCCCTGCAGTGAGGGCGACTGGCCGACGCTGCTGCCAACTATCCTTGTCTTCCTCTCAGCTTCCATGGAGATGAACGAGAGCTCCCGCTGGACCGAGGAGGAGATGGAGACGGCCAAGAAAGGTGAGGGTCTCCCAGCGTTAGTGTGCCTGGCGGACGTGCGTCGTCTCTGAGCAGGCAGTCTCCGGCACCCCAGCCCCGTGGGCCTTCTCCACGGGGCCTGGGGCCTGTGTGTGGCGTGGCCTCGGGGTCAGCCACCTGGGCTGTGGGTGGCGGAGAGGCTCCACCATGGGGCTCAGGGCCAAGCTGCTCCCGCCTGGCTGTCCCGCCTGCAGGTTCTGTCTCGGTTGGCCATGGAGAGGCGAGAAAACAGACAGATGGTCCCAGAGTGGGCCGTGCGAGCGGGGACACCTGTGCCAGTGCAGGGGACCTGGCAGGGGGCTGAGACTGGAGACCCTGGCCCCAGCCCCGACACGTGGGTGAGGGGCGTGAGGAGGGAGGCTGTGGCTTCCCCAGGTCGGATCTAAAGCTGGGGCCCCAGGGCTGGAGTGAGGCGGCCCCAGCTCTGGACACTGCGACTCAGGCTTCAAGCCCCCAGGGTTCAGGACCTGACCAGGGGCAGCCCCAGGCCAAGCAGGCCCACCACGACCCTGGCCTCCCGCACGGCTCACCCCTGCTGCCCTCCGCGGCCTCGCCACTGCTCTGGCTGTGGCCGTGCTGCCCTGACTCGAGGTTCGAGCTCTGCTTTCGCAGGTCAGAGCTGGCTGGGTGTGGCGCGGCCTCTGCTGGCCAGCTGGGGCACTGGCAGCTGCCCAAGAGGCCACACTGTTACCTCTCATGGCTCCTGGTGTGGCTCTCACTGGGAGGTGCCCAGAGGCTTTACTGAGGGGGCGGGATCTCCCCCCTTTTATTAAATTCTCCTCAAGCACACAGAGCATACTTGACCCCTGCAGCCCCCTGAAAGGCCACAGCTCCATCTGTAGTGTTAGTCACTTCCGTGATGCCATTGAGGCCTCGCCACTGTCCAGGTCAGGACTTCCATTCGCTCCGCACAGGAACCCGCACCCCCAGACCCTGCCAGCCCCTCGCATCCACTCGGTCTCTGACTTTGCCCATTCGGCGCCAGGAGGGACTGTTACCCCTGCACGCCTGGCTCCCCACTCAGCATGCCTACAGGGCACCTGTTTTTGTGGGATCTGATCTGGGGACTCACTGTGCCCTGTGGTCTGTCTTTCCCTCCCTTGACGGGCGCCACCTTGGGGCACCTCCAGGGCCTGGTGACCGTACGTGTGCGCGTAGACCCTGACGACAGCAGGCCACACCGGGCCCCGAGAGCATCCCTCGGCCCTCGCGGTGGCTTCTGTGGTCACACAGCCCCTTCCTGGGTCCTTCCCGTTGCCTGGGAACTGGAGCTAGCAGCTCCTCTGGGACGCGGAGGGGCGGGTGGCTGCGCGGAGCACTGGCTGAGTGGCGCTTGCCCACTCTCTGGAGGTTGGTCCTCAGGGGCGCCGGCCTCAGTTAGCTCATCCCGGGCCCTGTCTGTGGAGACGGAGTGGAGCGCCAGTTGGGGGCACGCCCAGGCCCTGCTCGGTGACATTTGGGATAATGCGCGGAGCGCTGCGTGGGGGCCGTGGACGACAGCAATCTGGACAGCTACCGCCCAGGGTGGCACTGACGGCGGCGTGTCTCCAGAGGGGGCGAGGTGACGCAGGAGGCTGGCAGCGCCCACAGACTCAGGAGGCGGGGGTGGGAGGCCAGCAGTGTTCTGCTGCCCCCTGCCCAGCCCCCGGAAAGCCAGGAAAGAGCCCAAGAACCGGCTCTGCCTGAAGCAGGTGGTACCCACTCTCCTCCCAGGCATCTGACCAACGTAGGGGCTCGCCCTGTGGGTGAGTCAGCCTTGGTCCTTCATTGGGAGTCCAGGAAAAGCACCCAGGGCTTGCTGGAGCTTATGTGGGAGCCCCTTTCCAGCTCCCCACACTTGAAGGAGGGACTGCAGGGACCCCCACCCCAAAAGAAACCAGATCTTGGCCTCTGGATCTTGTAGCTGTGTGACCTCAGGCAAGTCAGCCAACCTCTCTGTGCTGCTTCCTTGTTTGTGCTGTGGGTGTCAGAGTGTTCCAAGCAGTGTTAGTTTCTGGGACTGCGGCAGCGAAGGACAGCCTTAGGGGCTTCGGAACAAGGGTAGTTACCCTTCCCACCCCGTTCTAGAGCCACGAGTCTGGCACCGCTCGGGCCTCATGCCCTCTGCATATCGACTGTGGGCTGGAGTAAGATGACACTTTAAGAAGGTTCCACATTCTCCCCCATGGAAGGGAGGACCTTGGGCTGACACCCAAAGCCGGGAGTAATGAGTAACCCTAAGTAACGCCGTGGAGTACTTCTAAGCACTTCTGGGTGCCAGCAGCCGCCGGACGCTTTATGTGTGTCAGGTCACTTCGTCACCAGCAGCCTGGTGGGGCCAGGTGCTATTATTCCTCTATTCAGATAAGGAAACTGAGACCCAGAGAGCTTCCTGCGGTCAAACAGCTTAAGTGGTGGAGATGGGAATTGAACCCTGGTACTCTGCTTACTAAGTGGGAACGGGATGGGTCGAATGAGCCCGTCCACAAGCCTGGCTTCCGTTGATTTGGTAGTGAGCCAGAGAAGGGCATCCCAACGCAGGGAAAAGCACGTCCGAAGGCCCCGTGGCCAAGCAAGAAGCTACAAAAACCCAGGAAAGGATGGGGAAGGGAAGAAGGCGAGACCACTGCACCCCTGGCCTTGGCAGCCCCTGGCCTTGGCAGCCCCTGGCCTTGGCAGCGTGGGGTAGAATTCTTTGCTCTAGGAGCTTGGGGGCGGGGGGGGGCGGTGTGGCATGGGGACGGGGATCCTTGGATGCAGAGGTGCAGGGGCCCCAGTGTTCAGGTGGGCCTGCCCCGTGTGCTTGGCGTCGGGGCTGCCGCTCTGCGCTCTGGGCCTGGGGCCTGAGCCTGAGCAGAGTAGCCTCCCCGGAACGGTGCAGCCCCAGGGAGCTGGCTGTCCGCCCTCGGGCCCAGTGCCATGCCGGGCTGGAGGGGCAGCCCAGGCTCTGCGCTGGGATGTGAGACTCCAGTTCCCCTGGGAAAGGTCAGCCTGGCGTGGCTCGGAGTCCTGACCTAGCGGTGCGGGAGGCCCAGGCGCTGCTGGTGGTTCCTCCCAGCCCCCACCCCCTCTCTGAGGGCAGGGTGCCAGCTGTGGAGGGTGGGGAAGCCCCTGTCACCGTCACAGGCCAGGAACAGGCACCGGCCCAGCTGTAGTCTGCCAGCCCCTCCCTGGCCTCAAGTGGCCTGCCTAGGGAGGGGACAGAGGACAAGGGGAGGTGCTGGAGGAGGAGCTGCAGGGCCCATTAGGCTTGAGGGGGCGGGGGGGTGCAGGCTGACCCCAGCTGCCTACCCAGCCGCCCGCTTTCACGGACAGTGGGGAGAAACCACTAATCGCTGGTTTCTCCACTGAGCTTGTTTACACCACGGCTTGATAGTTGTGCAGAGTAAAAGTCTCAGGGAGTGGAAGGGAGGTGTGAGCCCCAACTGGAGAGCCTGGAGGCGTCCCAGGCATGTGTGCAGCCAGCCTCAGAGCCTTGTGCCCCCCTCGACAGGAGCTGCCAGGGTGCACAGCCTAGACGACAGGAACACATCCCCCAGGCCTGTGACGGGCAGTGTGTTCTGGGGCTCAGGTGCGGGGCTGCCAGCTGTGCACCCCCAGTGGCTCATGCACCTGTTCAGGGTATAGGTGTCAGGGCCCAGCAGGAGGCAAGGCCAGTGACAGGCGGGTGTCATGGCTAAAGACTGTCTGGAGGGACCACGCGGCACCCCAGGCCGCCCTGGGGCTGGATGGAGAGAGGGGCCCTCAAGCATCATGGTTGGGCCCGTCACCCCCAAACTTGAACACTCTAGGGAGGATGCCAGGGTAGTTCTTCAGGAGAAAGTCAGGTTATCTTCATGAACCCCCGAGTCAGGCAGACACAGGGGCCAGTCCAGATCCTTCTCTTGTTCCTTGTTAGTGCCCTTGAGGCGAAATCCAGGGTTTCCCAGGCCACCTTGCTCCAGGAGTCACGTGCCCACGTGGTCCCTCCAGGGGCCAGTGCAGCAGTGCCCCCCATCCCTGGTCTGGTACTTTGCATGGATTACCTCCTTATTCCTCCCTGCAGACCCAGCAGCCACCCCCCACCCCCACCCTGCTCCCCAACAGCCACAGGTGTGCACACTCATTTCCCCCCCCCACACAAGTACACACACTTGTGCTTTGCAGATTAGAAAACTGAAACCCGAGGACAGTGAGGAGAAGGGTTTGTCTAGCAGGTACCCCAGCTCTGTGGGCCGGGAAACCCGGCGTGGCGGCACCACCGGCGACTGCCCGTCTCCATCAGCGCGTGCCTCAGCATGCTCTGAGGAGACGTGGCATCCCACAACCGTCTCCGATTTGCAGATACGACTGCTAGCACAGAGGTGATAGGCGGGGAGGTTGTTTTCCAGAGTGAAGTCAGGAGGTTTGAGCCCCAGTGCAGGCGTGAGGCTGTCCCGTTGGGACTGCGGTGTCAGCCCCGGCAGCTCTGGCTCTCAGGCGGCGGATGGCGGCCCCCCGGAGGACTGGCCACGTCGACCCCCCCAGGGCTTGGGGTTTCTGAAACAGGGAAGTGGCGTGACTCAGGCGAAGTCTGCTGGACGTTCCTCCCTCCTTTGCTAGTGTTTTGGGCAGAAAATTTTGTTTCGTAAACTGAAGTTTCTTTTGGAAGTGGTGGTCTGGGGGAGCCGCTCGCAGGCAGGAGGGCCTCGGAGCTGGGTGGAGCTGGCCGGGGTAGGGGGGTGCCAGCACTCTTCCTGGGAAGGGGGTGTTGGTTTCCAGAGAGCGCAGCCGAGACCTCCCCAGCCTGCAGAGGGATGGCAGTGGGCTGCTGTTTATCTGAGCTGCCTGCTGGTTGTTGGTGCAGGTTTGCAGCCCCTCAGGGGAGACAGCTGGGACCCCAGCTGAGGGAGGAATCCAGACAGGAACATGGTGGGGACAGAGGCGTCTGGGGTGACTCACGGCTCCCGTGAGAACAGATGGCGCTTTGGAAGCTCCCCAAAGGGGTGCCCCTGGCGGCCCCTCAGGCGCAGTTCCCCACTCTAGGAGGCGCACCCCAGCAGCCCTGCGGTCACCCCTGCTCCTTCGCCTCCTTCTCCACTGACTCAGACCCGCTGGCTTGACTTCCTGTCTTGGTCAATTTCACTTCCTAGTTCCTGCCCCCTGACTCTTCAGAATGAAACTCCTTCCTTAGAAATTTGAAGTGGGGTCGGGGAATGCAGACCGCAGGGGACGTTGGCAGGACCTGTGTGTCTGGGCACCAGAGCAGTGTGTGTGGGCACGTCCCTGGGCACCAGAGACGGCCACTGCCTCTGGCCTCTTCTGGAAGGCCTCTCGCTTCTTGGGAATCCCTCCCAGAGAAGCCGCGGACTGCCCAGCTGGGCCCCAAGCTCAGATGCTGGGGTGTCCGGAGCTTTGTTCACATCTCAGTGCCTGGCATGTTTGGGTGCAGGTACTGGAGCCCATGAACTGTAAAGGAAAGCTAATTTGGGGGAGTAGGAAGTTATCTGGAGTTACGTAAACTGGGTCATGGCAGGGTGGCTTGGGGGACAGCTCTGGAGAGTTGATCACAAGAGGCTTCTCTGGGGAGAGGCTGCTGGAGCAGAGAGCTGGGGGGTGGGGGTGGGGAGCAGGTGGACCTGTGGGAAAGCCAGTTAGCGGGCACAGCCAGTGCAGATATCCTGGGGCACGTCCAAGGCCTGGACCGAGAGGTGCCCCTGGCTGGAGCAACGAACAGGGGGAGGTAGACAGCTGCTGGCAGGGGCGGGCCCAGCCGGCCGGGCCTCGGGAGCTGTGGACTCCATCCCAGGAGCACTGGGCTGTCATCGGGACACTGTCAGCGGCGGCGTGACAAAGTCGCACTGGCTCCCTCGGGCCTCCCTCAGGAGAATGGCTGGTGGGACTGTGATGGAAAGCTGTGGGTCTTTCACACAGTTGGGATCGGGTGTAGGTGGAAGGTGGGGGGCACGGGCCAGGGAACAAGGCACTTTGGAGGTGCCTGTTGCTCCTTAGGATGGAAGAGCGGAGGGCTTAAGGGGCAAGCGGGTCAGTGAACCCGGAGCTGGAGAAAACAGTTGTGACCTGAACTGCGCTCCAAAGTTCGACTCAGTTAACTTTCAACCCAGCGGGAGCTGTGGGCCATCAGCAGCAGGTGTTTGCCCGTCCCTAGGCAGACCCGCTTGACAGGGCCGGGGCCTGGGGAGAGGGAAGCCCCGCCGGTGCCCTGAGCCCCCTGGGTGGCTGAGAGCCCATGGGCACTCCACACACCCCTCTCCCCCGTCAGCCCCTTCGGAAGGCCCCTTTGCTCGCCTGCGCCAGCCCGGCGCTGCCCACCCACAGCCCAGGGAGGCGTGCGCAGCCCCTCCCTGGGCCCGGCCAGGGGCCCTGGCCGTGGCAGCCTCGGCCGGTGAGGGCAGACCGCAGGTGGGCCTGGCGGGGCTCAGGGCGGGAGGCTGTTTGCTCCCGTCTGCGGGTGGAGAGGCTCTGTTTTTCTGAACCCTCATCTGTTCTTACCGCTGCTGACGCCGCCACCGCCACGGATGGGGAGAGAGGGAGGGGGAAGCCAGTGCCAAGTTGGCCCGCCCCTTCCGAACCTGGGCTTCTGCCACGCTCCCCCGCCCGCCCGCCTGCTCCGCGAGCCTCTGTCTGGAGGTCACATTCAGTCCTGACGCGTCTCCTGGGTCAGACAGCAGGAAGATCCAGCCGAGCCCAGCACGCAGCTGCCGGGCACCACCTCGGACTTGGGCCTGGAGGTTTCACCCGGCAGGGGCTTCGGGGGTCCTGGAGGCCCCCAGCTAGCCCTCCTTGCCTAGCACCCACAGCTGAGCACGCTGGTGCCTGGAGGAGCTTCGGACTCTGTGCCCTGGTGACGCCTGGCACGGGGCACCGAGCGCACAACTGACCACTTCCCGCCCCCGTCCTGAAGGGCACCTCTCCCAGCCGCAGCTGCGGGGGCCGCGTGGGGGGGCGGCGGCTGGAGGAGCCCTGGCCACCACGGGCCAGCCGCGGGAGCTGCTTCCCCGCCCTTCACTGAGCCAGCCTCCGCCCGCCAGCCCGCCTCCCCTCCCTCCCTCCCTCCCTCTGAGCCTTTGGACAAGAAGGATGTGAGGCTGAGCTGAGCCTGAGCAGACGCCAGCCAGAGCCTCGCAGAGCCGCCGGCACCGCGGCCGCCCAGCCTCCGCCTCCCGCCCGCTGCTCCAGCCGCTCCCTGGAGCATCCTCCAAGCCCTATGTTTCCGGAAAACTTGGCCGAGGGGGAGACGCAAATGAGAGGATGTGAGTCGCCCTGGGGAGTGGGCTGGGGGGAGGCGACAGAGACCGGGCTGTGGCCGTCAGGCAGCTGGGGTAGGGGACTTGGGAGTTCTGTGCCGGTGGGGTCCCCCGCCTTCCCGGGGCGCCCTCTCGCCTGGCCCTCTGACTGGGCTCTCCAAGGAGGGCAGGGCCTGGGTCTGCGCTCGGGGCTGGCCTGGAGCGTCTCCGTCGGTGTGTGTTCAGAGGTGCTCTCTCCATGTGGTGCCTGGTGTTGGGGGCTGTGGGGGTCTTTCAGCTGGTCTGAGTTGGGCGGGCCCTAAGGTACCACGGGGCTGAAGTACTTCTTCCAGTGCCCAGCAGCCTTAGTCCCAGGCTCCCAGACAGGAGCCAGGAGGTGCCTGGGGCCTCTGTGCCTGCCCCAGGGACCCTGGCCAGCCAGAGGAGGACACAGCCCTGCACGTGGCCACGAGGGAAACTGAGGCTCCGAGACAGAAGGGATGGGGAAGACCACACGGCTTGCCCGTTCGGGGTTCTTTCAGAAGCCGCACGATTTTAGGAAGGACTGGGTGCTCCCCCCCACCCCCATCTGCTCCTGCTGCTCCCACGAGTAGAGATGATTAGGTGATTAGAACCCCAAGCCCCAACCGGACTCCAGGCCACCTCCTTATTTATTTGTTGAGTTTGGAAATGCCAACCTCCTGGGGGCCAGTCCCCCCACCCCCGGAGGCCCAGATGGGAGACCCGCCCCCGCCCGCCCAGGGTTCCGGCCTGGCGTGTTTGCCTGGGCAATCTTGGCCCCGGCGGGGGAAATATAAATAAACCCGCGTCCCCGTCGTCCTCCGCCAGGTCCGTGGAAGTGGCAGCTGCTGCTGGCGCGGGCGCAGGGAAAGGTCAGGGGCCGGGTTACACTTGATCCCACAGCCCGGCCCTCCCCTCCACGCCTGTCCTTGAGGAACCCTGCCGAGCTGCCGTGGAGCCACGTGGCTCCGGGGCCTCTGCAGGAAGCAGGTGCCTGCCGTCCGCACCACCCCACCCTGCTGGGTCTAGAGGGGAGCTGGGTGCCCAGTCTGCTGGCTCCCGGGTCCATCCCACAGCCTGGGAGGCACTGGACCCACTGTCCGAGCCCCCCACCCCCTGCCCTGGGGGCTGCTGGCCGGCAGAGATGAGATGGAATCACGCCTTGGGAGGACTCGGCCAGCCCCGGTTGCTTGGGCCCGCGACGGTGCCTGCTGGGCTGTGCTGTGCTGCTGCCGTGCCCCAGCGTGTCAGCGCTGGCGTGGCGTGAGCCGCCCACGCTGGAATGAATGAATGAACGAAGAATGAATGAGAGGAAGTGCGGGCACGCAGAGTGCCGACTCCCCAGGCTCATGTGCCCCGCCAGTCTGCCTCCGTAGCCCTGCTGCAGCGTGATCCGATTCCAGGAAAATGGCCTGAAACTTGGTTCTGGGAAGCTTTGCCTTAGTCACTGCAGGTCTGGCCCCCGGCTCCGGCTGCCGTGTTTCCTAACCACCTGGCGCCCCCCCGGGCAGCTCACCTGCATGCAGCCTCTGAGGGGCCAGTCCTGCTCGGTGGCCCCTGGAGGTCTGGAGCCCGCCTCCAGCTCCCCCAGCCCCAGCCTCCTGGAAGTGGGCGTCCGACCAGCCGGGCTGACCCTGTACAAGCTGCCAGTACTGGCAGATGAGACATCGAGGGAGCCTGCGTGTGCCTGCGTGTGCTGGAGCTCAGCGGGCAGCTGGCCCAGGACCTGGGTCTCGAGTCACCCCAGGAGACAGTGGGGGGCCGCGTCTCTGCCTTGTCCAAGGCGTTGAAAGCTGGAGGGAGGGGCGCAGGTCTGGTCGGACTTTGTGGGAATGGAGGGGACTTTATGACCTTGTGTATGTATGGGATAGGGTCTGTCTCGGTTAGTTCCTGGGGTTTCTCCCCACATCAGAAGCTCATGGAGATGGGAGGCTGCGACTTGCCAGCAGAGTGTGGGGGCCTTTTCTCAGCCCCTGAACCAGCCCGGTGGGCCCCAAGCCCAGGACGGGTCTTTAAGTGTTCATGGGAGACTTTGGGCCCTGGAGGTGCCCCAGCTAACCTGGGTGTGGAGGCTCCTGGCCTGGCTCACCCCACCCGGACTGCACCCTCCCTCCCCTGCTCACACGTTCCTTCCATTCCCTGGCTGGAAAACAGCCATGTCTCCCGAGGACTCGTCTGCAGCTGCGAGCGAGTGTCAGCGGAGGGTCACTACAGCTGGGGTGGGGGAGGCACCCGCGGAGTCTGCGCCCCCAGAATCCCAATGGTCGCCTCAGTGGGGCATCCCCGGGGGGGGGGAGCATGCACCTGCCCCTCGCCGTTCCTGGACACCCGCCATGGGGTGTGAGGCCCATTGTTTTGTCTCCTCCTGGGGGTCTTGGACCGAGCTTTGCCCTGGGCCGAGGGCGCCGACCCTGCCGCCTCACCTCCGTGCCCGGCCCCACACAGGTCTCCTGGAGCATGGCCGCAACTGGTCGGCCATTGCCCGGATGGTGGGCTCCAAGACGGTGTCTCAGTGTAAGAACTTCTACTTCAACTACAAGAAGAGGCAGAACCTGGATGAGATCCTGCAGCAGCACAAGCTGAAGATGGTGAGTCCCCGGGCCCTGCCCTGGAAGGGAGCGGGGAGGGCGGGCCAGCTGCCCGACCCGGGACTGCCCGGCTGCGTCGGCTCACACTCGGCCCTGGCCACGTGTGGCGACAGGGATCGCCTGTCTCCTCCCTTGGGGCTCGGGATGGGCAGGCCTGCCTTCGTGGGCCCCGCCTCCGCCCCAGCTCTCCGTCGTCAGACACCTCCGGGGCCTTGAGTGTGGCTGGGCGTGGAGGCCAGAGCAGAGTGTGGGGTCAGGCCCTGACTCACCAGGGATTGAGGCAGTCAGAGCATTGGAATGAAGACCAGAGGCAGATGAACCCTGGATGAGCATCCCCCCACCACGCTTGACCTCACAGTCTTGGGGCCACCTCAGGAGCACAGGACAGCCCCAGCTCTGGCTTCCTGGGGCTCCAGGGGGCCCCAGGCCTTTCCTCCTCCAGGGCCTTTCCTCCAGAAGGGGCGGACTCGCCTCGCCGAGCGTGTAAATGGTCTCCATGGAGTGCCCCACTTCCTCCACAGCTGTTACCGGGAAGCCAGGGCCGTTTGGGGGCTGGCCTCAACATCTTTCTTTTTTTCTCTTCTCTCTTTTCGTTTTCGTACTCTTGCAACATGCCAGGCATCCCCGCCAGAACTGGGGAAACTGAGGCTCAGCCAGGCTTCTCAGCAGCACAGTTGGGCTCTGAGCCCCTCACTGTCAGTTTCCGAGCCTCATGCACCCTTGGAGTTAGGAAGGCATGAGAGAAGACACACAACTCTGCACCTGTGCAAGACCCCCTTGCTCTCTGGCCTCCGCAGACCAGACTCCTGTTTTGGGTCTGCTGTAGGTGCAGCTTGTCCTGGAAGGCAGTGCTGAGCTTCTTCCTTGTGCAGTATGCAGCGGCTCAGAGAGGGCAAGCAGGTGCTGAGGTCACACAGCACCAGCACAGGCTAGAGGGAGGATCGCCCCCTTGGCGCTCCTGTGCCCCTCCCCGCTCCCGTGTGTTCCCCCTTGTGTGTGAGTGGCTGCCGGGCCGGAGGGGGCGCTGTACCAGGCAGGCCTGTGCCCTCAGGCTTCCGCAAGCCCCTGTCTGCACGCTCTGCTTCTCAGCCGGCTGCTCAGATGCCCCAGAACTGTCCCTGGTGCATCAGGCATCTCTTTGTGCACCTTCCGGAAACTCTGGTCTCCACCGGGAGGAATGCCCAGTGAGCCAAGGACCGGGGCACCTGCCTTCACGCCGGCTGTGGCCCCCAGGGCAGAGGCTCCCCGAGCCAGGGCAGCCTGTGGGGCACCAGTTAGCCGGCCTCCACACACCAGGGTGGAGGGGGCGCTCTGGGCCTGACAGCTCTCTTCCTACTCCTGTGCCCTCACCCCTTCTTCTAACCTGCTTTTCCCCTCCACCGACTCCCTGCTCTAGCCAGCATCCATGGAAGCGGATCACACAGAGGCTTGTGGGGTATAGGTGACCCTGTCAGCCTGCAGGCCAAATGCCTCACTTTCCCAGGACACGGCCCTACTGAGCCCCCAGGTACCCCCAAGCTGGGTTGTAGGATCAAAGGCCCCAGCGAGGTGGATGGTACAGGTTGGGTTTGGTGGTGAATGTGAGTCTAGTGCCAGCATCCCAGTACCCCAGCTCTGTTCTCTTCTGTGACATAGGGAATCATCCAGGGAACTGAGGGCCTCATGGGTTCTGTTCTCAGAGAAGGTAGCTGCCCAGACTCCCACTCTTAGTGGTGACATCACTGTGATTTTAATGCTACCACTGACCCCCTTCTTTCTCAAGGACATGGGGGGGCTCTCCCCTAACCAGGGCAAGCCGGAGCCCGAGGATCTGGGCCCACAGACACCTGTCTAGACCCCGAGTCTACCCCTTCCTAGCTACCTGACCTTAGCAAATGGCATGGCTGCTCGGTGCCTCGGTTTCCCCACCTGTGAAATGGGAATGATACTACTTCGGGCTGTTCGAATGATGGGCACTCAGAATGGAGAGGGCAAGTGAGAGCCACAGTGTCTGCGGTGGGGAAACTGAGACCCTGGCCAGGGTTGGTGGAGGAGAGCTCACCACAGAGGCGAGCTGGCGGGCACTGCTCTCCCCACGTGTCAGCCGGTGTGGGGCGTGCCTGCGCCTGGGTTGACTGAGTGGTGGATTGGCCCCTCCCTTTGCTCCGAGAAGCAGCCCCCTAGATGGCAGAGAGCAGGCTCGGGACTGGAGGGCCCAGCCCCAGCTCTGCCACTTCCTGAACGTGCCCACAGCTACGTGGTGTCACTGCTCTGCGCCTCAGTTTCCTTGATGTACACTGGGAGTGAAGCTAGGAGCCCCTCCTCGGGCTTTGTGCAGGGCAGGGGGCGCTCTGTCTGTAACGGGCGGTGCCAGGCACTTGGTCGGCACTGAGTACGCGCTGGGAGCGTCCTGCACACAGCCATCACGGAGCCCCACGGTGTGCGGGGAGTGGCAGCAGGTGCCCCGGGTGTACGTGCGGCAGGGCTCCCGGCTGACACTCGTCCCCAGACAGGTGGCAGCTGTGTGGGCCACGCAGCCAGGCAGGGCTCGTGGCCGGTGCTAGGGTCAGAGAAGGTGATCCTGGCCCCTTTGGAAAGGTGCTGAGGCCCGTAGAACCCCGCTTCCTGCCCCCGCGCCGGGTGCTCACGCACATGAGGCCTCAGGTCGGCCTCATGCCCCCACTCCTCACCTGCAGTGAGGGCCGTGCAGCCAGGGGAGCAGGGGCCTGGGGAGAACAGGGTCTGGGGGTGCCGTGAGTCGGGCCCCTTTGTGGCAGCTCCTGGCCCTTCCCCTGTGTTACTAGGTGTGGCAGCGAGAACTCCCATGCAGTGGCCAGAGGCAGCTGCAGACCTCCGAGGCGGGCAGATGGTTGAATGTGCGAGGGCGCAGAGGGTGGTGAGGCGGTCTGGCTGGCTCCTGGAGGGCCTCAGAGGAGCGGCAGACTCCAGAGCAGAGCTGGGCCCACCGTAGGGAGAGGGACGCAGACCGGGTCCCTCCGTCCTGGCAGGGGCCACCCGGAGTGCCGGGATTGCTCCCCGTCGCCGAGCATGCGGCCGGCTCTTGAGACACAACTGACTCGGTGACCTCTGCCTCCCGTCCTGCCCCCGCACCCGGGCCCCAGGAGGGGACAGGCAGGTCTTGGTGAATTCCAAAGCCGTGGCAGCCGCCCCTGGCCCCGGCCCTTCTGGAGCCCAGGAAGCTGTGTCGCCCTGGGCTAGGGCAGGAGGGAGCAGCAGGAGCAGGGGGTCGGTGGGTGCCCCCTCCGCCTCTGGCCAGGTCTGGCCCCCGCCTAGCAGCGGGCGAGGTCAGCAGGAAGCGGAGCGCTGGGCGGGCGGAGCGTGTCCCGGAGTTATGTAACGTTTGGCATCAGTGTCTCCGAGGGTTTCCCTCCCCCTCCTGATGACCAAAGGTTACCCTCTCCTCCCATCTGTGAATCCAGGCCCCGGGGCTCCGCTTCCGTGTTTGTTGCTCTGCTCTGTCCAGCGCGGCCAGGGCCCCGCCTTGCCTTGTTTTACCCTGTTGTGTCTGGCAGCTGAGGCTGCGCGGGCCTGCACAGAGAGGTGGCCCAGCAGGGAAGTGCTTGACCCTGACCTGCATTGAAATCTGGAGCCCCTCACGCCCGAGACGCGCGGTCTGGGCAGACGTCATTGCCTCTCTGAGCCGGTGTCCATCCAAGGAAGTAGTTCCAGGACTGCGTCCAAGGAAGCCTGTTCTGAGCCCGGCGCCGTTCCGAGCGAGCCGGGAGGACAGCTGCCGCCGACAGGCCGACGCTGGCCCTCGAGGGGCTGGTTCTAGTTTGGGGGACGGATGAACACAGAGATCATTTCAGACTGTGATCTGAAGAGAAGGCCAGGGGCGACACAGTAGAGGGCGGTGGGTGCGTGGTGGTGGGAAAGGCCTCTCTGAAGGACAGTGTCTGGGTGTAGCCAGGTGGAAGTGGGGAAGTGAGTCACAGGGGCCCCGGGAGTACATGTCCAGGCAGAGGTGACCCGTGCACGGGCAGTGTGGCTGGGGCCATGAAAGCCTCTGCGCTAGGAGGGCGTTGTGTTAAGTAACAGCACCAAGGGGTGTGGGGGGGGGGGGAGCAGAGGCCAGCTCTGGATCACAGAGTACGTGGGGGGCGGGGACTTGGTAGGAGGAGGACTGAGGTTTGTTTCAGGGGTCTTGGGGGACCCCTGGAGAGCTTGGAGCCAGGAGCAGCGTGCAGAACCGTGTGCAGGTCTGGTCATTAACACCTGGAGGGGCAGGGCCCGTGGGGGTGCCCACGAGTGCGTCAGCTTCATCCATAACAGCATCTCCTGTTTCGATTCCTTCTGAGGCTCCGAGTGTTCCAGAGTTCCCCTTACCCCCACCCGCTGTGGCTGCTCCTTGCTCACCCAGCTCCAAGCGCCAGCAAGTCCCAGTCTGCTAGAAATAGATTGGGGAAGAAGGGGATCCCTCAGCCGCACCCACAGAAGCCACACGCCACACAACTTGCTTGAGCCTCTGGGCTGCAACGGGGCCCTTGGGAGAACAGCGGTTTTGGGGCAGGCCAGGGCCAGCCCGGCCGGACACTCCCATGGCTGGTAGTCACGGGGCCTGGCTGCAGCCTTCAGGTCGAGCATGGGTGAAGGAGGCCGTGACTAATGAGCTGACATTTCCCTTTTCCTTCCGGCATTGTGAGCTTCAGAGCCAGGGTTGAGGACCCCTGTTTGTGCAGGAGAAAGACAGCTCAAGAAGTGACTCTCGTCTCCGGGCCTGGAGCCGGGGCCCCCCTAGGGCTGTTTCCAGCCAGGCCTCGGAGAGAGGTGTGTGTGCCATTTGATGTAGGCTCCCCTTCTACGGTTTTGGGGGGACAGTGAGGGGAGGCATATTTGTTTCCTGTTTCCTGTAACAAAGTGGCACACACGGCGGGTTAAAACAACAACCGTTCCCTCGCAGTGTGGAGCGGCTGAGGTCACGATGGGCAGGCCCGCTGGTCAGCTGCCGCGGGTGCCACAGGCCTCGCCGACCCTTGGCTGGACTCGCCTCACGCCGGGTGTGTCACGTCCACTTCCCTCCACAGTGACACGGGGCGGCCCACCCTGTGCTGGTGTGACCTCATCATCACGTCTACATGGAGCTGGTTCTCAGTTGCCGTGGACATGAATTTGGGGGGGGGGGGGGATACCATTCAGTCCAGTCTAGGGGGCTTTGCTGGGAGCCACTGCCAGGGCCAGGGAGTTTATAGGTGCCATCTCCTTCCTGCGGGGGCTGAGAAGGCTCAGGCAGGGACATCAGCCTCCTGGAACGCCAGCTGTGTCAGGGTGGGCCTCTCTTGATGGCCAGTCCATCTCCCTGGGAGTCCCTCATCACCTTAAGATCTTCAGGGTACTTTGTCTCCACACAGAGCCCAAATCTCTGTGGACCGTATTCATGCCCTGCGTCCACAGGGGTAGAGACACCCCGTCCTGAAGAGCCTGGCCCAGTGAGGTAGCGAGTCAGCAACATCAGTGAGAGTGTGTTGTTTGCGCCCAAGCTGGGGAAGGGGGTGGCAGTGGCAGGGAAACCAGGGCTCGGAGAAGGGAGAGTGGGCGGCAGTCTCCCAGGAAGGCCTTTCTGTTCCCAAGCACGCGCCGCTGGGCCCCTCCACCTGGACCCTCTCTGCAGGGCCCTGCGGGGCCAGCTGCATCCCCTGTCAGACAAGAGAGATTTCCTGACCCCCACTAGGTAGCTGTCCCGGCGCTGTCCTGCCTGCCCTGCTGGCACCCTCCATTCCGTCAGTCTGCTGTTTCTTCTCTGGAGGTATCGCTTGCTGGCCTGCTGCCCCGGAAGGCCTTAGGGGCGCCCTAAACACTTTGCTGGTTGTGCACCCTCACCCCACCCCCAGACTTGGAGTGCCCAGTCTAGCCTGCTCAGCAGGCCAGGAGACAGGGCAAGGAAAAGCTTCGACCATTTATATTCGTTCCACCACTGACCGGGCCTGGCGGGAGCCCCCTCGAGGTCATGGTCACAGCTCTGGCTCAGAGGGCCAGAGCAATCACGGGGGGGGGGGGGGGGGGGGGGGGGCGCTTTCAGCAGAGGCGGACCTCCGTCACCTCCTCCAGAAAGACAGCAGGGCGGCAATAAGCCGGCCTACACCTGGGGGATCTGGGACAGGATGGGAGAACAAAGCTCTTGGTAAAAATAACCGCTGGCGAGTTTGGTGGGGGGAGCTGGGGCGCAGCAGGGCAGGGCGCCCTCAGGACCATGTGGCCGGGACTGCTGTCCCTCGCAGCTGTGGTGAGGGCTCAGGCATGGGGATTTCCCGGGCTGACAGCCACTGACCTGCCCGTGCCCTAGGAGAAGGAGAGGAACGCTCGGAGGAAGAAGAAGAAAGTTCCCGCCGCCGCCAGCGAGGAAGCTGCCTTCCCGCCCGTGGTGGAAGACGAAGAGATGGAGGCCTCCGGCGTGAGCGGGAACGAGGAGGAGATGGTAGAGGAGGCAGAAGGTGAGGTTGGGTTGTGGGCAGGGGCTGAGCCCATCTGAGATGTCCGGGTCCTTCTGGGAAAGGACCGGCTGTCTCAAAGGGAGAGCGTGATGGTCATGGTGAAGATGATGGTGTGGTGGAGGTGATAGTGATGGTGGAGGTGGGATGGTGTTGGTGGAGGTGATGAAGGTGATCGTGATGGAGGTGATGGAGGTGATCGTGATGGAGGTGATGGTAGTGGTGTTAGTGATCGTGGTGGAGGTCATGGTGATAGTGGCGCTGATAGTGATCGTGGTGGAGATGATGAAAAGGGAGGTGATGGTGGTGAAGATGATGGAGTCGGTGAGGTGATGAAGGTGGTGGTGGTGGGGATCATGGTAGCGATGGTGGTGAAGGTGATACAATTATCGATGATGACGTTAAGTGAATTCTTTCCCAGCGCAGCTGCACAGTGACGGGCCAGCCCCCCTCCCACTCCTGACCACTAATTAGTCTACCTGTGACCCCCACCCTCTCCCTTGCCTGGGTCAGCGCCCCCCCCCCCGGCCCCCCATGGCATGAAACCTCTGAAGACCTAGCCCTTACTGGGCTGGCTGCCCTGTCTCTCCTGTTACCGCCCGGCCCCGAGTAGCCCAGCTCAAGTTCTGGGTAAATGGAGCCTTCTTTCCCCTGCCACCTGCCCTGGGCTCTTTCCTGTGCCCGTCTGCCTGTCTGCAGTAAACTCCCGAGCTCCTGCCAACATGGGGAGGAAGGTATGAGTCACCGGGCTCAGCCAGGCGTGTGCAGATCAGCCCCATGGCCTGGCTGCCACTCGAACCCTGTTTCCTGGTCAGAGAGGGGGAGTCAGGCCCCTTGGCTACTGTTGTCTCAAGTCGAGATGGGCCTGGTGTCCCGAGGGTGGCCTCCTTGCAGGCTCTGGGGCTCCTTCACTCGGTGAGGGCTGACCAGCATCTAATGAGCCTTACGCCTTTCTGGTCCTTGCGGTTGGGGAAATGGAGAGGACTCAGAGGAGAAGGGAGGCTCGGCCAGGAGCCCCGCCCGGCCGGCCTGGCTGTCCATGCATACTGGGGGGTTAGGAAGCCAAACTTCAGCTCAGCATTAAAACCCACACAGAAGCTGCCCAAAGAGCTGTGGTTGCAGCGCCCTGTGCTGAGGGTTCACGTGCTCAGCGGCAGTGAACCAGGGCAGGGGCTTGTGGGCCCACTCGGGGCTCCGAGCCACTGGGGAGACAGTTCCAGGTGGAGAAGAACCATGCATGTGGGGTGTCGGACTGGTGGGCTGGGGCTCTGCCCGGCCAGCGTGTGCTGTGACGGGCACGGGAGAGGTGAGTGAGGATCTGGGCTGCGGCCCAAGTGTGTCCCAGTGGAACCATCTGGAAAAAACAGCCATTGCCCTGGGGCCCCTCCCGAGGAGCCGTTGGGCTGGACATGAGTCAGTTCAGGGGCAGGAGAAGCGCCCCGTTCTTTCCGTGTTTGCAGTGGTTGTGAGAAGAGCAGTCTCAGACAAATCCCTGGTTCCATCCGGGGACCTGGGGAGGAGGTGCTGCGCCCCATCTACATAGGAGGAAGCAGGCGTTGTTGCACAGCGGGTGTGTGAGGGGACTGACCAGGATCCCAGCTTGTTACCAGGGCTGATTCTTGGGCCCGGCCAGACCTACTGAGCCTGCCGTGCTTGGGGCGGGGAGCGGGGTGGCCTCAGGGCCCCAGTGCTTCTGGCACTCAAAGCTCCTGATGCAGACCAGCCTCTCAGAGGGGAGTATGTGTATGTGACCAGGCAGCTGAGACGTGGGGGCTAAGCCTCTTGGGGGACCATGGCTCCCTCTCCCTCCATCTCTGCATGTGGGCAGGGCCTGGGACTGCTGGGGGGTGGGAGGTGCTCCCAGACGGCATGGCCCGTGGCTGCCTCTTGGTGCCTCGGTCTCCTCTGCACATGGGACTGGGTGATGCCCTGTCTCAGAGGCTCCAAGGACTCTCTGTGCCGACACAGAGCCCACAGGGCCTGGTGCTACGGTCACTGGGCTGTTTCTGAAAGGGCTGACTCCGCTCTGGGCCGGCGAGGGAGGTGCGCAGTGGGACCGGCCAAGGCGGGGGCAGCGGGCCAGCAAAGGTAGAAGGGGGTGCTTCTCCGCAGCCCCTGCCAGCGCCACTGGCCTGGCTCTGCTTCTGAGGGTGAGCTGGGGCAAGCCACCCCAAGGCCTTCCCCGACCTTCCGCACCTGGGGCCAGCACCCAGGTCCAGGGTCCTGTGAGCCAGGAACAGGCCGCCACACAGCTGCAGGTCACTGGGGGCGGCTCTGTGTTCGGAGTTGGAGGGTCCAGGCCTGAGGATCGGCAGGACAGCCTGGACACTGACCAGCAGAGCTGCCTTCCTAGTATCCCCGGCCACACCAGCCTCCTCCCTCCTCACCGCTGTTCCCACCTCCTCCTTCTAACTCTTCTCTCACTTCCTTCCAGCTTTACATGCTTCTGGGAACGAGGCACCCAGAGGGGAATGCAGTGGCTCAGGTATGAACACAGCCGTCTGGTTGGGGGGTGGGAGTGAGGCCAGGCTGAGGGGGACCCTGAAGTCACTGTGCTCGGCGAGGGCCCCACTTCCGTGAGCATGCCTCTGTTCCCCCGTTCCCGTGTAGGGTCTGTTCCCCATGCTGTTCCCTGGCTCTCCCCTGCACATTGGTATACTCAGCACCTGTGACTCTTACCTGGCTTGATTTTGCCAACGACAAGTGTGGGGCTTTCTGGTGCCCCCATTTTATTGAGAATGGAGGCAGTGGCGACCTGAGAAAGTCACTGCAGTGGCTTGAAGGCTGCAGAAGCAGGCCGGCGGCCCAGGGCTCTGGCCCTTGCACTCTGCACCCGCTGTGTCTCACCCTGTGGGAGGCGGTACGTGGGCTAGCTGTGGGTGTCCTGACCCCTGCGCAGGTCGTTCTGTCCCTATCCCGATGCTGGTAGACAGTGGGCTCTGGGTCCCCTATGCTGCCCCGTCCTGGCTCATGTACCTAAGGGATAGGAGTTTTTGCATCCCCATTCTGCAAATGGGAAGCCGGGGTGCAGCGTTTTCTCCAGGAGCCACCAATGAAGGGTGGAGTCCCTGCCCCTCCCAACCCTCCAGCAAACCCTGGCCCGAGGTCTGCCTCTGGAGGGGCCATCTTCCAACGTCCTGCGTGGGACATTAGTGAGTCTGGAAGAAGGCAGTGGGAGAGCAGGCACTGGGTGGGGGCTTTGCCTGGGGCACCGTCTGGGGGTGCTGGTGTGGAGCACCTCAGGGCTCAGGGCTCCTGCCCTAGAGCCAGGTCATGCAGGTTGGGGAGACCGGGCCTACCTCCTATCCCTGGGTTCCTTCACCCCCTCTTTGCTGTCCTCCCACAGCCGCGGTCAACAACAGCTCAGACACTGAAAGCGTCCCCTCCCCCCGCACCGAGACCTCCAAGGACACGGGGCAGAACGGGCCGAAGCCCACGCCCGCCCCTGGCACCGACGCGCCGCCCGCTGAGCCACACAACCCTCCTCCCGAGGACGCCCCAGCCCCCACTGAGCCTACTGCCACCCCCGAGGCCACCGGCCCTCCCACACCCCCACCAGCGCCCCCGTCGCCTTCTGCACCCCCTCCTCTGGTCCCCAAGGAGGAGAAGGAAGAAGAGGCCGTAGTGGCCCCCTCCGTGGAGGAGGGGGAGGAGCAGAAGCCCCCTGTGACCCAAGAGCTGGCACTGGACGTGGGCAAGACCGAGGATTCTGGGGAGGCGGCCCCCGCAGAGCCAGTCAAGAGCGAGTGCAAGGAGGAGGCCACAGAGGAAGGGCCAGACAAGGCCCGGGGGCGCGCAGACGCGGGCCCTGAGGCTGTGCCCGAGGGCGCTCTGAAGGTGGAGAGCAAGGAGGGCGGCGGGCCCGTGGCCAAAGCTCCCTCGGCCAAGGGCTCAGGCGCCCCCCAGGACAGTGACTCCAGTGCCACCTGCAGCGCCGACGAGGTGGATGAGCCCGAGGGGGGCGACAAGAACAGGTGAGTGGGCTGGGGGCGCGGCGGGGCACCGGCTGATGGGGCAGCCTGAGGCTCCGGTGCCGCCCCCAGCCAGGGTGGTGAGGGAGGCGGCCAGGCGCTGCGGGGTGGCCGGCCAGGCGGCGGAGGCAGTGCAGGGCCCGGACGGAGGGGGCCGTGCGGAGGCTGGGGTGGGTGCCGGGCAGCCTGGGCCGGTGTCCCGGCTGCCCTCGGGAAGCCAAAGGCCAGCAGGAGTGGGCAGGGGCTGAGCTGCCCACCACCTCGAGAGGGGCCCTCCTGCGTCTGGGCTGCTGGCGGCAGCTGCCAGCCGTGTTTGGCTTTGGCTGTGCCCTCCTGTGTCTGCGCCGCCATCCTCAGCCTTCTCCCTCTGGGTCTGTCCCCAGCTGTCCCTCTTCTTGCAAGGCCAATGGCCACCAGGTTGGAGTCAACCCTAATAAACTCATCTCAACATAGTCATTTCCGCAAAAGCTCGTTTCCAATTAGGGTTGCATTCCCAGGGCTCGACCTAGATTAGGGGGGCGCAACTGCATCCTCAGCATGGCGGGAACAGGTGCAAAGACTCGGCTGTGGGGTGGGGAGGGAGACAGCGCCTGGCTGATGCAGAGGGGGACCAGCGGCCGAGGAAGCCAGTGGAGTGGCACCGGCCCCTGCGGGGCCCGAGGGCTGGATGGTGGCTGCTGTGTTCTCTGGGCGATGAGAAGCTGGAGCTTCTGCCTGCGCCGAGGGGTGGGAGTTACTTGGCTGAGGGGATGTAAGGGGTGGCCAGCAGGTGGCTGCTGTGTCCCGGTGGAGGTGACAGGTCAGCCTGAGGCAGGTGGTTTGGCGGGGGAGCAGGGGAGGTGGAGAAGGGCTGGGATGGGGATGTGGCGGTCTCCAGGGATTGCTGGTGGTTCCTTTCCCATGCTCGAGGGTCCCTGGCCAGGACCGGGGCTCCCCGCTTTCAGGCCACTGGTTGGGGGCTGAAGGGAGACCCTCTCCCAGTCACATCTGGACAGCCCAAAGCTCGTTTTCCGGAGGGGCCGGAGGGTCATCTTTATTTTGACTGAAAATAGCTTGGTCTGTTTGCTCTCTGCTGTGTCTTGGAAAAGTTTGGGCAGAGGAAAGGGAGGAAAATCTGACTTTCAGAGCTGGCGTGTTCGCTCATAAGTTTCCTCTGTCCCCGGATTCACCATGCAGCATGTTGAAGCAGCACGTTTGAGAGCATTTCATGTGCAAACCAGGTCTGTTTAGCCTTCCCTGGGCCCCGTGTGCCTCACAAAAGGAGGTGGCTGTGTCGGCCATGTGTCTGGGTGCTGCTGGAGGCTGCCGCCAATAGGCGGCCCTGTGGGTGCAAGGAATGGTGAGCTGGTGGGTGGCCCTGTGGTCAGCAGAGGCCTGGCCAGCAGGTTCTGAAGGTGCAGAGTTCTTGAGTTCACCCACCAGCCTACCCTTCACACACTGTCCTGGCCTGGTAACGGGGTCAGGACAGGCAGCGCCCCACCCACCCGCCCTTGCCAGTTGCAAGGACAGTTATGGAAACCATCCTGCTCTCACTGGAAGGATGCTGACCTCATGGGGCAGCCACGCAGCCAGGCGGCCTCCCGGGGGCCCTGCCGAGGACCCCGGCCCGCCCTGGCTGGAGAGCCAGGAGGTCTGCCCTGAGTCCCATCAGCCGTGCTGCTTCCCGCCACCCCCCACCTCACCGCCCACCCCCTGCCAACCTGTGGCAGGCCTAATGCCCCATGGGCTCCTGCCAGCCCCTCCCCACCAGCCCCTCCAGGGACGTGTCTCTTCCCCCAGCTGGGCCTGGCTTCCGTCCACTCTTCCTGCCTGAGTGTCCAGCATTCAGTCCCTGGGGAGCAGGAGCCCTGGGCTGGGAGTCAGGACACCTGGTTGTCGTGCCCCAAGTGACTGAAGCTGGTCCCCCACCCTCGGGGTGAGTCTGGCCCCAGGCCAGCCTGCTGACCTCTTCCTGGCTTGCAGCCCGCCGCTCCTCACTGCCTCCTCCCCTGGCCACGGCTGTGTAGGGCCAGGGCCAGGCGGGCGCCGAGGGACGCAAGTTAGGTGCGTCAGAGCTGGCCTGGCAGCCCTGGCCTCCCAGAAGGGCTTGCTGCACGGCGGAGCCTCCTGGGCGACTCCGGGTCCTGGCCACCTGCCCACTGTCCTCTTCCTGCCCAGCTGGCGAACCGTGTGCCCTGTGAACACTCAGGACTGCCCCTCGCTCCCCTAGCCCCTGCCTGGGAGGCTTCTTCTACCTTCACTCCAGCACCTTCTGCCGGCAGCTCTGCCTGGGAGTCTTCTTGGCCAAGGACCAGAGATGGCGGCTTTGATTGCAGGGCCTTGGCCTGTCCGCCCTCCCCATTCCAGTTCCCAGAGAAGGTGCCTGGCGCTGGAGGGGTGGGGGCTGGCCCTGGAAGATGGGCTGATGGTGAGGCTCGAGCACCCAGCCTTCTGCCTCCAGCTGCCAGGCCCACAGCCTGTGGCTAGCGGGCTGCCCTCCTGTTCCAGTGGGGGTGCAGGAGGCCGGAGTGTGGCTTCTTCCTCTGGCCCTTGGACTTCTGGGCTTTGAATGAATGTAAGAGCAGTTTCTGTAACTGGCTGGCTGGCACCTGTGTGTGCTGGGCACATGCTAGGCCCAGGGCAGCTGGCTTCTGGGGTCCAGGGTGCTCATACACACCCTCTGTAAGTCGTGAGAGCGACAAGCATGAAACTGGGCCAGTAGGGACATGCGTGAGTGAGGTCCGGGGCGTGTGGGAAGCCTGGGGGCCAGGGCCCTACCCGGGAGGTGGTGCTGGAGGGCCCCCTGTGTGTGTAAGTGATGGGAGGCGCGTGCCTGTGTCCTGCCACCTCCGTGTTTGGCTCCATCCCTGCTGCCCATGCATGGCTGTGAGCCCATCTGCACGACTGAATTCCGGAACATTCTCATGACCCTGCAACGCTGTGCCTGTCAGCAGTCGCCCACTGGCCCTACCCCGGCCCGCTGTCTGCGTCAGTCTCTGGACTTGCCGTGGCCTCGGCCCCCTCGCCCCTGCTGGGTGCTGAGGCCCCTCCTGGCTGGAGCAGCTGTCTGGGCCAAGTGCTTCCCTGGCTGGAGCAGGTGCCGCCAGGCAGGGGCCCACAGTGTGCGGGAGCAGCGCCACCGTGCTCTCTCACGAAGGAGTTCTGTGGGGCGCGTTTCCGGCCCGGCGCCACCCGCGGTGGGTCAGCCAGGCTCAGGGACTCCACTGGGCTGTTGGCACAGGGGCTGCAGCCTGTTTGTTTTTCAGTCGACATTTGTGGATACAGCTGGTTTGCGTGGAGGGTGATAAGTAATTGGGAGGGATGGGGCCTGGGTGAGGCAGGGAATGGGGGGGCAGGTGATGGCTGTGGGGTGAGGCTCAGGGCCAGGAAGGGCAGAGCTCCAGGGAGGCCTCTGGGCGAGACCTTGGGGGCGGTCCTAGGAGTGCCAGGGGAGGGGCCGGCGAGGGGAGGCGGGGCGGCCGGTGCTGGGAGGACCGGGGGTGTGCAGAAGTCAGGATGACCTTGGTCTGCGTCTGTCTCCGCTCCGCCGAGCGTGTGGCAGATGCTGGCGGGAGGCTGCTGCCCGAGGCACGGGTCCCTGGGCTCCCCCGCGGGAGTCAGGGTGCCAAGGCCACACATGGGCCCCCTGTGCTGTGGCTTGTGCTGATTCCTGGCTCCGTGGAGGCAGTGGCTGTGCCCGGCTGCCCGTTCGAGGCATCAGCAGGTGAGGCCGCAGCTCCTGGTGAGGGCCGAGTCTTTCGAGTGCGCTGGCTGACATCGCCCCCGGTGCCCATACCTGCGTCCACTCTGTGTACCCCAGTCCCTGGGCTCAGCAACAGCAGGCCACAGGAGGGAGTCGAGAGCCACGTGGGGAGCAGCACAGTGCGTGGTGGGTGGCCAAGGGGCTCCAAGGGCCGGGCTGGCGCCGCACCTGTCCTGGCTCCTATGCTGGCAGGGAAACAAGGGGATCATGGCCAGGTGCGTGCCCATTGCTGGGCATTGTAGAATCCTCAAAGCCTGCCTGCCCTGCCCTGCCCTCTTCAGCAACTGGCCGGGCATCTTCCAGTTATAGAGCATTCTGGTTAAGAGGCTGCACCCCTCCCCCGCCCCCAACCCCCCGCTCCGTCTCCCAGAGTGGAGTCTACTCAGCTCCGTGTCCAAGGCCCAGCCCTGGCACCCCAGAAACTCATCTCTGGGTGGTGAATTTATTTGGTTGATTCTTCGGCTCTCACGTGTGGTGTCATGGGCTGGGCTTCTCTGGGGCCACCTCGACCCTGGGAATGTTGGATCCTGGTTTCTTGGCTCTGGGCTGGGGCGGCGGGGGTCTATGTGGACCTGAGGAGGTGCTCCCCACCCCCCGAGTCTGGGTTGGTCTCCTCACTCACAGACATTAGCATACACCCGCCGCCCGCCCCCCCCCAAGTCCCCTTGTGCAGGGCTGGAGAGGCCGGTTGTGAGCCACAGCTGGCGCTTGTGTCCCCCCAGGCTGCTGTCCCCACGACCCAGCCTCCTCACCCCGACCAGCGACACCAGGGCTAATGCCTCGCCCCAGAAGCCCCTGGACCTGAAGCAGCTGAAGCAGCGTGCCGCCGCCATCCCCCCCATCGTGAGTGCCCAGGCCCCATGCCCCAGGTTGCCTCTGCCCCACCCGGGAAGGCCCTGGCACCACCCTCCCTTCCTGCTCCAGAGACTGCAGATCAGGCCAGGGCACAGCTGGGTGGGGGCCAGCGAGCCCCTGGGCCCCCTCTTCGAGGCCATTGTTTCCGAGAGAAATCCCCGTGGAGACAGTGGGGCTGACTGGGGCAGGATGCCTGCTGGGTGGGGCCAGTCGGCCTCGCTCCTCCCATACCTTAGGAACCTGCACCCTTGGGGCCACCTATCCTCAGCCACCCAGGGTTTTCCAGAGCCCCCAGACCAGGCACTGGACTGTGGGGAGGCATCAAGTCCTTCTGGCCTTCCCAGCACCTTAGAAAAAGAGGTGGGGGCCCCATGTGTTGTAGCTGTGAACTTTATGGAAGCCCCTCCTAGAAGCTTCTCAGACTCAGCGGGCAGCCCCTGGAGGGTCACCCTGGCTCCAGCTGAGGCTGTCCCTGCCCCAGGAGGGGGTTCTGGGCTCCCCACTGTAGCTGGGTCCCTGATAGAGCTAGGCTGTGGGCTGGAGACCGAAAGGAGCAGGGCTTCTAGGTGGTGGGCACAGACAGCCAGCCTGTGCTGCCAGCCAGGTAGGGTATCGGTCTCAGTGCCAATTTCTCTGGGATCAGGAGGGACTTGGGCTTGGGGAGGGTCTGGCACGGAGGGTGAGGGGTGGGAAGTCTCCCTCCCATCCGCCATCTACCGTCAGGCAGCTGAAATGGCGCACCCTACCTGCTTTGTGGAAGCCTCCTTCCCTGACCCCTGAGCCACGTACCCTGGGCCATGCTGCCACGCGTCTGGGCCTTGGTTTCCAGGCTGGCATCATGGGGAAGCCCAGGTAGCCTTGTCTTGATCTCTGTGGCCCCTGAGTGCCCTGCAAAGGTGCCCACTCTTCTCTGCTTCCTTCAGCAGGTCACCAAAGTCCATGAGCCCTCCCGGGAGGATGCTGCTCCCCCTAAGCCAGCTCCCCCTGCCCCGCTGCCTTCACAGCACCTGCAACCAGACAGTGACACCCCCCAACAGCCCAGCAGCAGCCCTCGAGGCAAAAGCAGGAGCCCTGTGCCTCCTGCTGAGAAAGAGGGTAAGTGTGTGTGCGTGAGAGGCCAGGGGGAGTGAGGTGCCCCTGAGCAGAGCAAGGAACATTCATGTCCAGAGCAACTGTTGCAAACTCCAAGTCTGTAGTGCAGAGTGGTAGTAAGACAGGAAGGAGCGAGGGAGGCTGTAGGGGATGGTGGGGACTGCAGCAAACGGGAAGTGAACGTGCGCCCTTTCTGAAACGGGCACACAATGGCCTCAGCCAGGTCTCCGTGTGGCACTCTGGGCCTGGGGGTCTTCTCCAAGAGAAGCCAGAAGTCCATCTTGTCATTTGGAATCTTCTAGTTTCTCGACATTGGCAGCTTTGCATGCCTTGCAGAGTGGGTGCGTGGAAGCCAGTCTGTGGCTTGGCCTCTGAGTCCATGTGGCTCAGTTCACACATGAGCTTCTAGAACTGCAGCTGGGGCCCAGCGCCTGCCGGTAGCATTCTGGGGCCAGGAAGGACACATGCCCCTCCAGCCCGCACGCTGACCTTATTCCAGGCTGAGGTCCCTGGGCACAGTGCGACTGAGTGCAGCACCTGCCCGGGATACCCTTTATTGTTCCACTTGAAGCTCAAGGCCAGGAGATGGGCGGGGCATGGCCCCGTGTTCCCTAGATCCCCTTTCTGCTCCACAGCCCCCGGGCCCCAAGGAATTCCAAGCCCGTGTCCCCAAAGGGGCCCCCTTCCCAGACTGGCCTGGCAGCCAGTGGGTGCCGTCGGCCCTTCCCTGCCTCCTGCAGCTCAGGCTTAGGCTCCAGAGGCCCGTGCAGCCTGCCTTGGGCACATCTCTCCTTGTCTAGAAGGCCAGGCTGGCCAGTGGCCATGAGCCTCCCTCCTGGAGGGTGGGGCTGCATGCCTGTCTGAGGACAAAGAGCAGTCCCGTCTCTGAAGGAGGAGAGCTCCGCGCTCCCCCAAGTGACACGGGCCGGCTGGACAGACTCCCTGTCACCTGGCCTGCCCACTTGAGGTTTGGGAAGTCTTGCCACACGTGGGCACGCCACCTGGCCAGCTTGCAGTGGCTCGTGGCTGCTCGGCCGGGCCAGCTGTGGGGTGCCTGAAATTGCCAAGCCCCATCAAGGTAGTGAGCAGGATAATGCCCCTGCTATTTTGGGGAGTGAGGAGCATTTGTGTAAAGGAAGCAGGGTGACTTTGGAGCAGGTTGCAACAAAAGAAACAGAACTGAGTGAGTGGTGGGCAGGCTAGGGCCAGGGTATCCTGGAGGAAAGAAGGTGTTAGTCATGGACGGGCATTCCCAGCAGAGGCAGCAGTTAGATGCAAAGGCCCTGGGGTGGGAACAAGCTCGGTGTGTCACTGGCTGGGCAGTGGTCTGGTGAGATGGTCAGAGGAAAATGGGGATCAGGCTGTGGAGGGCCCAGCCCCAGTGCAGGGACTTGCTTGGGTGCAGCAAGCTGGGGTGCGTGGGGCATGTGATGTGATCCATACTTAGCAGAGCTCTCTCTGGCCTCGGAGTAAGAGCTTCCCGGCCCAACAGCATGCCTGTACTGGATCTGAGCAGGTTGAACCACCCTCGGGTAGCGGGCACCACCCAGGACCAGCTAGGGTCCTGTCCTGGGAGAGGGTGAGCCACCACCAGCCTCTCGGGGTCTGGCACTTGGCCCATCTGCATGGCTGAGGGCCTGCTGGTTCCTGGAAGGGCTCCCATGGCGGCTAGGGCCCCTGGCACCAGCACCCCCCTTTGGGGGTGAACTTGATGCTCAGTTCTTGTCCCTGGGCTCTGTGAAAGCCCCAGAGGTGCGGTGCAGCCCAGACTCGGGCTCCCCAGGGCCCATGTGCAGCACAAGTTGTGTCTCCAGGGTCTCAGCCACCTACCTGGCTTGGCTTGGCCCCAAGTTTCCCTTCCAACACTGGAAGTTCCCTCCTCCCCCAAAACCACTCCCCCCACCGGCTACCCCTCTCATAGCCAGAGTGAGCTGCAGGTGATTCACTGGCTGGGGACTGGACTGAGGGGCCCCATCCCCAGCTCCTCCGTGGAATTTTCAAGCCCTGGGCGATGTGTGAAGGCACCTCTGATGGGGCTGGTGGAGAGTGAGAACCCCGCTCCCCGCTGCTGTGCCCAGGGCAGGCGTCCCAAGTCGATCCCAACCCTCTGCTGGTCTGAAGGCCTATGGGCTGCCCTTCTCCTCCCAGGGATGGAAGTTTCTGGCCTTCCCGGCTTGCCACTGGTCATCTCACCCTGGTCGGTCCTCAACCTTGACACCACTGCCAAGGGAGAGGTCCAGTGTAGGCCAGATCTTAGCAGAGTGAGAGGCCAGCAGAGGCGGCTGTGCGTGCAGGCTACAGCCTGGCCCGTGGCAGTGTGGACCAGCTGTCCCCAGGCTGAGACTCCAGCGCCCACTGTTCACTTTTCTCGTGGGCAGCAAAAAGGCCTGTGAACAGGGAGCGCTCCCCCACCTGTGAGAGGGGCTAGTGGTCGGCCTTCGCAGGGCGCCACGAGAGAGATGAGGGAGCGTGCGGGAAGCCCTGGGAGCAGGCCGGCCGGAGGCCCTGCCTGCTATGCTGTCCGGTGCTGTGTGGCTGGGGTGAGGGGCTCATCCAGTGTGGCCGGGCACTCCTCGGCCCCTCACATAAGCCCACTGCTGTCTGGGCCTGGGGTCCCCTCTGTAAAGCAGGCTTGGTGCTTCTCTTCCTTGCCCACCTGAGGCGCTGACCGAGGTCTGGGAGAGGTGCGTGCACGAGCCTGATGGAGGTCCCGAGTGCACCCCGCCACGCAGGCCTCGCCCGTCCACACCCCACCCCTCCAACTGTCGCAGACCAGCAGCAAGCGTCTGCTCGGTGCTGTCTCCCGCGTGGCTGAGGCTGTGGGCCAGTTTCTGTGGCAGCAACTCAGCTCAGCTGGGGACAGTGACCAAAGGCTCCAGCCTCGGTGACCAGCTGTGGGCCAGTGGCAGCCCCTCATGCCACCTGCCAGCCCTCATTAGAGGTTCATCTCAGGCTGTCAAGGACCCCAGCTCCCCACCCCACCCCCCGAGATGCACTGTGCTAAGCAGAGGGTCACAGGTGCTGGTGCTGTGTCCGCTCCGCTGCCTGGGATTGGGTGTCACAGACCCCAGCTACCGGTGACTGAGGCCCGGCCCAGCCTGAAGTTGGCGCCGGGGTGCAGGGAGGGCCTGCCTGAGTCAGGGTGGCTGGGGTGCCGGGCTCCGAGGCCTGGCTGCCACCCCTCTGACACCTGGGCTCATCTTCCCAGCAGAAAAGCCAGCATTCTTCGCGGCGGAGGGCCAGAAGCTGCCCACAGAGCCGCTGTGCTGGACGTCAGGCCTGCCCTTCCCCGTGCCCCCGCGAGAGGTCATCAAGGCCTCCCCGCACACCCCTGATCCCTCGGCTTTCTCCTACGCCCCGCCTGGTAAGTAGCTCAGCCTCAGCTGCCCCGCAAAGCCTGCGGCTCTGGGCGTGGCTGCTCGCAGGGGCCCACTGCTTGCCGTCTGATGGGGCCTGGGGGTGGTCTGGTTGGTGGAGGAGGGAAGGGAAATCTGCAAGTTTGGGGTGGCAGGACCTGGCCATAGGGAGCAATAAGAGGTGCTTGAGCTAGCTGAGAGTGGGCCACGGGCAGAGGCCAAGGGTGGAGGGAGGAAGCTGTGGTGGTACGCAGGTACAGCCAGGCACGGGCCTTTTCTGCCTTGCCATTGCTGCTGGTCCCGCCAGCGTAGGGGTGGCCTAGCCTTGGCTGAGGTGGTCTGAAGTCAGCGGAGGACCTAAGCAGAGCTGATTCCTAGGGCCGGGTGGGCTGGTAAGTAAGCCCGAGGGACAGGGCAGGACATGGCCGGCGGGGACTATGTGAGCACAGAGGTCGGAGGCAGGAAGAGCGGGTGAGACTCAAGGAAACCCGAACCAGGCAGCTCACTGCCCAGAGAGCCCGGGAAGACCATAGGGGCCAGATCCAGGCCCCTAAAATCCATGTCGGGGTGAAGACTGTCCTGGGGCCGTGGAGAGCCCCGGAAGGCTCAAGGCAGGAGGAGGGTATGAACCAGTAGAGCTTCTAAAGCAATTCCCTTCTGTCCTCCTGGGGAATTGGACTTGGGGTGAGAACTGAGCGCTGGGGCAGGGCGGAGGGAGACTTCCCGGCAGTGGTGTCTGAACCGTGGCTCTTTGGACCGGGCTGGAGGGCCGCAGCAGGGCTGCCTGGGCAGGGAGCTGTCTCCAGGGGCACAACCTTTCCAGAAGCCCATGACGGATACACTGGTGCCCCGCAGGTCACCCGCTGCCCCTGGGCCTCCATGACAGTGCCCGGCCTGTCCTGCCTCGTGCACCCACCATCTCCAACCCGCCGCCCCTCATTTCCTCCACCAAGCACCCCAGCGTCCTCGAGAGACCATTGGGTTTCATCCCCCAGGTGAGGCCGGAGGGACAGCCCCCAGGAGCTCTTGTGTGGCTTTGCTCCACGACCAGCCCCTTCCTCTTTTGGCCTGTGAAGTGCCTTTTAAGTGGGGGCTTTGGGACCTGTGATGCTGGGGTGGGCGGCAGGCACCCACACACTGGGGATGAGCTGACTGGAGCCCTTCCCAGGCCCTGAGGACCTCAGAGGTCCCTGGGGGCCGTGAAGCACATGATTCTGCTATCAGGCTGTGTGACCTTGGGCAAGTTGCTTAACCTCTCTGCCCCTCGTTTTCCCCTCCTGTGACGTGATTGAGTGCAGGGCCCAGCCTTGTCTTTGCCCAGGCCACATGTGGGCACCGTGCCCGTCACACTGCACTGGGTCACGTGGCACCTCCAGGGGAGAGGGTCAGGCTCAAAGAGGCAGCATCTCACCCAGCGCGGCACAGCAGGGCAGCAGGGCCAGGTGCAAGTCCTGGGCATTGCCAGCCCAGGTTCTTCTCCTCTTGGGCCCTGGTCAAAGGGGGTGTCTGGGTTCTGGCTGAGCTGGGGGTGTGGTGGCAGCTCCTCGGGGCCTGTGTGACCCCTGACCTCTGCCCCCGCAGTCAGGGACAATGCAGCTCCACGTCCCATACTCAGAGCACGCCAAGGCCCCCGTGGGCCCCACGGCGATGGGGCTGCCCCTCACCATGGACCCCAAGAAGCTGGGTAAGGTTCTCACCCACCGCACCTTAATTAGTAGCCCGATGTAAGGGGTTTGGGCCCACGGGACTCTGGGAAGCCGTTGGGAGGCCCCCAACAGCGCTGGAGCAAACTTGAGGGAGGGCATGCTGCACCTTGCTGCGGGGAGCGCCTTCTGCCCCTGCCCCACGCGCGTGCTCACTGTCCTGCCTGTCCCCAGTGCCCTTTAGCGGAGTGAAGCAGGAGCAGCTGTCCCCGCGGGGCCAGGCTGGGCCACCGGAGAGCCTGGGGGTGCCCACGGCCCAGGAGACGTCTGTGCTGAGAGGTGAGGGTGGGGGGGTTGGGCATGAGTGCCCGTGTCCCCGGGGCCAGCACCCCTGCTCGTGTTATCTACTACCTCTGTGTGCAGAGACGCCAGGCTGGCGGTGGCCGCAGGCCCGGCTGTGGGGGGGCAGGGCTTGTGGACGCCACTGAGCCCCCGTGTCTCGTGTGTTACAGGGACGTCTCTGGGCGCGGTGCCAGGCGGAAGCATCACCAAGGGCATCCCCAGCACAAGGGTGCCTTCCGAGAGCCCCATCACATACCGTGGCTCCATCACCCACGTAGGTGTCCTGGGGTGTGTCTGGGGCAGGTGGGGCCCGCAGCAGCCCTGACCCTGACCATGGCAGAGCAGCAGGCAGCTCATCCTCCTGTGGCCGCCTGCCCAGACGGGTAGGGTGTCAGCCCTGGAGTCGGTCTGTGGTTCTCGGTCCTGTCTGGGGCTCAGGCACGGTGGGTGCTGAGCCGGGCTCAGCCGGGTAGCAGGGACACGGCTTCTATCACCCCGAGAGCTTGGACCGCATCTTCAGTGTCCTCTGAGAGACATGGGGCTAACCGGGATGCAACCGGGATGCGCACACTGGTGGACAGTGGCCTCTCAGGGAAGGGTCCTGTGGGCTCCCGGCCTGACACACAGCCGGAGGGCCTGTGGGATGTGCCATGCCAGGGTTGGGCCCTGGTGCCTTAAGGTGAGGCCATTCAGTTCCCAAGGGCTTGCAGCCCCTCTGTGAGCCCCCACTCCACACCCCTTTCATGTTAGAGGCTGAGGGCCTTCTCTGTGTCTAGGCCCTGGGCAGCCCCACCCATTCCTGGGGTCTTTCGCACCCTGCTTTCTTTGCTCCCCTCTCACTTTTAAACAGACACTTGAAGTGGGTGGCCAGCCCTCTCAGCCCATTTTACAGATGGGAAGACCAAGGCTCAGATTAAACGTGAGGTCATGTGTAGCCAGAAAGCTCAGGCCATGGAGCCTGACTCAGTTTCCCCTTTTGTCCAAGTATGGCCAATAGCATCATTGTCATGAAGTCCTGGAGTTAGAGGCCGATACTTGAAGTTTCTGGACAGTGGTCTGCTGCCCGTTTCCGGGTGCTAGGGCCCCCTCGCTCACACAACTCCCATTGGCGTTTGGCAGGCCCTGCGAGGGTGACGCTCTCTCCTACACTGGCTGCCAGCGGGTGATGCCTAGGCACCCGTCCCTCCCCTGACACACATCCGTACACTCGCAGGGCTGACAAACAGGGCCCCAGGGTTTCTGTCTCCAGGGGGCCAGAAGAAGTCACACCTCTGCCCCTCCAGACCCTGCCCATGTCAGGGTGAAGTTCCCTGGCCCCAACCAGAGGCTCGGCTTGGTTTGGGAAGGGTGTTGTCCTGAAGGGCAGGACCCTGAGTCTCACTGGGCATCTGTACTGTACCAAGTGGACATCTGTGCTGTCCCAAGCAGAGCTCCCAGGAAATAGCACAGCTCGAGGGTGTGGGCCGCCCGCAGACCCCTGGAGGCCCTATCTCCATCCTGTGCTGTGAGCCTCACCCCTGCTCCTTCAGCTTTGCTGTCTGTCTGTGCAGCGTGTGGGTCAGCCGCCTTCAAGGCAGGGGCTATGGGTGTGGCCGCCAGACCTCTCCCAGGTGCAGCCGTCCGCCTGGGGTGCACACAGGCCAGAACGGAGCTCCGGGAAGTGTGCGGGGACCCCTCTGGATTCACCGCTCCTCTGAGACGGACTCTGGATCCAGGCTGGGGTGTGGGGTGTGGGTGGGGATGGTGGCAGAACTTGGCTTGGCACACAGTAGCCCCTGTCTTTGGATCAGCTCTTGAAATCGTACAGAGAGAAGAGACATCTTGACTGGGGACAGCTTGTCTGTGCCTGGCGCTTTTGAGAATCTTGGCACAGAGTGCTTTCCGCTTTGTCAATGCATAAGCAAGAAGGCCCAGAGAGGCACAGCAACTTGACAGATGTCACACAGCACAGCGTGACTCCGTTTGAGTTCGGATTCCCACACTCACGGGCCTGGAAGCTGCCTGTGGCTGAGCTTGTGGATCAGGGACAGCTTTGCTCCTAGGACACTCTGGGCAATCTCTAGGATGCCTTTGACTTTCCCCTGGAGGCAGGGCAACAGGCAGAGGCCAGAGACACTGTCAAGCGGTGTGCAGTGCCCAGGGGCCCTCCCTTCCGTATGCACTTGTCACGGTGCCGAGGTCCAGAAGCCCATGGTCACAGCTAAAGGTTCTGTCCTGCCCAGGTTGGAGTCCCTGCTGTGCCCTGGGCATAGCACAGGGGAGCCCAGTGATCCCACTGGTGGAAGGTCATGGTTCTGAGCAAGTAAACCCACCCAGGACAGATTGGAACAACACCCCCGGGGCCAGAGTCCCTGACTGCTCGCTGCCTCACCACCCCCACCCGAGACAGGCCTGAATGATAACGGTGCCTGCCTTAAGGTGGCTTCCTGAGTTAAAGTAGCAAACACATCCCGAGAGCCCAGGATCCCTGTCACCTAACAGTGCTGCTATTTTATTCTAATTGATTGTTCTGGGGCCCCACCCCCCCTTGTGTACACGTGTGCGGGTGTGTGCACATGTGTGCAGACACGCGAGGCCCTGGCTCGTGGTGCTGCATCCTGGCCACGTGCTGAGTGCTGTCTGGTGTGCCCCCAGGGCACTCCCGCCGATGTCCTGTACAAGGGCGCCATCACCCGGATTGTGGGCGAGGACAGTCCTAGCCGCCTGGACCGCAGAGAAGATGGCCTGCCCAAGGGCCATGTCATCTACGAGGGCAAGAAGGGCCACGTGCTATCCTATGAGGGTGAGTCGCCCCCGCCGCCAGGAGCAGGCGGAGCCTGGAGGCCCGGGGAGGAGCTGCCAGAGCCGACAGCGGCTTGGGAGGACAGTGGTTGTTCCAGGCACCACATTTGTGAGGCGTGAGAGTGGGCCCTCACCCCCCAAGCTGTTGGGACACCCACCCCAGGCCTGGGAATTTCTGCTGCTGGCCAGGAGAGCTTACACTCTTCAGGGTTAATGGGCAGCCAGATGTCTTGAGAAAACAGGTGTGGCAGTCCACAGCTTTCCCATCAGCCTCAGCTGGCAGAGCGCCAGGGTGAAGGTTTGGTCTCCCCTCCCCTCTGGGGAGCCGGAGGCATAGTGGCCTACGGGGTCTCTCTGGGTGGCCACCTCCTGCTCTCCAGAAAAGGAGGCCCGGGGCCAGAGAGAGGGGAGTTCAGACCCTTGGGGGGCTTCACAGGGAGGCAACACCAGAGAGGTGTGCCACCTCCCCCCCACCAGCCTCACGGGGTGCAGGCTCAGCCTAGCCACCTCCTCCCTCTGTCCAACTCCAGTTTAGAATCGCACTTGCACCGGGTCTCAGAGGGTGAAACTGGACCCCACCCCGGGTCTGCAGCTCAGCACTCTGGAAACGCTGTGCTGTCTGACCCCCCGAAAGTGGCCCCAGCAGGGCTAGGACGAGTGCGACACTCCACGCCAGCCCAGCCTCTGCCCGAGCCGCACTGAGTGCCCAGCCCCCTTATGCGCTGGCCACAGAACCAAAGGCCACGGCAGGGAAGGAGTTAAGGGATCCAGGAAGGGAATTTCCTGGCAGCCCTGGGCACCCAGGGGCGAGGAGATTGAGCTGCTAATGGACACCCCTCTTAGCGGCTGGCAGCTGCACACCCCTAAGTTGCTTCTGAGCAGGCGGGCAGGCACTTGGTCTTCTTCGCCCGCCTCCACCCATGCCCGACTGCCCCTTACTCGGAACGGGGAGGGGGAAGAGGCTTGGCACGCGCCTCTCCCTCTTGCCAAGCGGAGGGACAGGTGGTCTCTCCAGCGCTGGCCCTGGCCCCCCTGAATGCCCGGGGTGGAGGAGCCCTGGGAAGTACTGATGGGAGTGCTGGCAGTCGAAGGGTGGTGGGCAGGAATTCGGGGTCCAGTCTCAGCTGGGGCTCCCGATCAGTTCTTGAGCATCCCATCGTTTATTATCTGCACAACGGGCTTGAGTCCTACACTTCTGGGATGAACGAGGGCAGTAGACAGGGTCGGGTGGGGAGTGGGCGAGGACCGCGGCCGCCTGGAGCGGGAGGCTGTGTCTCCAGCCACCTGCGCCAGCAGCTGGCCAGGTGTGGGTCAGGTGTGCAGCTCCTCACCGACAGAGAGCCGGGCAGGTCTGGCTTGGGCGCAGGAAGCCATCTCCATCTCCTGGCACTGGGGCACCCCCGCACGGCTGAGACTGCTTGGTGGGTGGGGTTGTCAGGCCATGGACCCCCTGGGGAGGGCTCAGCCGAGTGGCTCCTTGGCCTCAGGGCCTGCAGACCTTGGGCGGGCTGGCACAGGAGGTGGCCTGGGCTGGGCCCCTGCGTGTGGCCCCGCACCCACGGCAACCCCTCAGCATGAGGTGTCCTGTTCCCAGGCGGCATGTCCGTGACCCAGTGCTCCAAGGAGGACGGCAGGAGCAGCTCGGGCTCCGCCCACGAGACGGCCGCCCCCAAGCGCACCTACGACATGATGGAGGGCCGCGTGAGCCGGGCCATCTCCTCGGCCAGCATCGAAGGTGGGCACTACTCACCTCAGCTTGGCTCCCGGGGCAGTGTGTGGGTGGCCCTCGCTGGGTCAGCGCAGAGGAGCGGCAGACACCCCCAGCGCCCTCCGCAGGGGTGGGACTCACCCCATTCCACAGGCGCAAACCCACGCTGGGCTTTTCTGAGGCCCGGGCTTAAGACTGTGCAGACCCAGCCCCTCTTGCCACCACCCCCGTGGCCACGGTGACGGCCGTGGTGACAGCTGGAGGAGGGGCTGTGGTCACTGCCCTCGGCGGCTCAGGCCCCCGTGACGGTGTCCGTGGCCATTTCCAGGTCTCATGGGCCGCGCCATCCCCACGGAGCGACACAGCCCCCACCACCTCAAGGAGCAGCCGCACATCCGAGGTTCCATCACCCAAGGTACAGCCACCTCTGCTGCGCCCCCACAGAGCCCTGGGGAGGCGGGGAAACGCCCAGAGCCCACATGCTGGTTGAACTGGGGACGCAGGATGCTTTTTATGTGGTGGGAAGCAGAGAAAGCGGACTCCCCCCTCAAGGCTGCGAAATGCGGTCTGCTCATGCGCTGCCTGCCTGGCCCCTCCCCACGCGCCACGGGGTGTCACCTCGTGGGGGCTTAGAGGGGTGGGGGGCCTCAGCGGGGTCCAAGAACTCGCCCCTCTTCCCCAGCTGGTCAGCGGTGAGCCAGGAGTCACCTCCCGCAGTTTGCTTGCTATCTGTGCCCTCTTGTGAGAGCTCAGGGCAGGGCTGTTCCGATGTGCAGAAACAGCAGCTGGGGTTGAGGGTCACGACACACAGCGAGTGAGGATTTGAACTTGGGTCATCTGGCTCCAGAATCTGCGGGGTGCAGAGGCCCCAGGTTGGGACAGGTGAGCCGGGCACAGTGCCAGAGTCAGTGCCCCTGCCCTCCCCAGGGATCCCACGGTCCTACGTGGAGGCCCAGGAAGACTACCTGCGCCGGGAGGCCAAGCTCCTGAAGCGGGAGGGGACGCCCCCGCCACCCCCACCGCCCCCCCGGGACCTGGCCGAAGCCTACAAGGCCCGGCCCTTGGAGGCCCTGGGGCCCCTGAAGCTGAAGCCCGCGCACGAGGGCCTGGTGGCCACAGTGAAGGAGGCCGGCCGCTCCATCCACGAGATCCCGCGGGAGGAGCTTCGGCGCACGCCCGAGCTGCCCCTGGCCCCGCGGCCGCTCAAGGAGGGCTCCATCACGCAGGTACGGCACAGGTCTCGGCAGGGAGGGCAGGGCCTGGCCCCCAGGGACGGTGAAAGCGAGGCCGGAAGGCCCGCTGTCACGTGGCCGCTGGTTCCTGGACCTTCATCGTGCATGTTCTGGTTTCTGTGCCCAGAGCTTTGCAGGCACGATCCCCTGAAGCTGCGCTTACAGCTCTGTGGGGTTCGTGCCGTCGCTCCAATGCTCAGGCGAAGAAAGTGAGGGCAGAGCCGTGGAGCCTGGAGCTTAGGCCTCAGAGCAAGATGCTGTGATAAGAGCCCGTGTTGCTGGGCCTGTCCTCTGGGCCAGGAGTGGTCTGAGCCCTGGACCCTCACTTGTTCAGCCTTACAGCAGTGTTCTCACACAGTTCCCCTACGGCTCCCATTTTGTTGGTGAGTAAACCCAGGTTCAGAGAGGTCATGTGTCTGCCCTGGAGTCACACAGCAAGTCACTGGCATTGTGACACAAATCCAGATGTCTCTAGGTCCACAGCTTCTTTGTTTCCTCTTGTCCACATCTCCCACCGGCAGGGGACACCTCACGGGGCCCCACCGGTGGCAGAAGATCAGCTCTGATCATGTGAGGCAGAAGCCACCTCATGTGGTCAGAGGGGGCTTGACGCGACCAGGGAGGAGCCCACGGGGCACGTCTGCCAGGTGGAGAGCATTAAGGAGGGGCCCCAGGGGGGGTCCAGGGCATGCACAGAGGGAGGGAGTGTCTGATGCCAGGAAGTTGGCTTTCAGCCTCCAGGCAATTACAGGCCATCCCCAAGGGTCACTGTGGATCCAAGAACTGCTCTACACCTGTTCTACAGTATTCTTTTTTAAAGTTAGGGCGTTTCCCCTTTTATGAAAGTAATTAAGACACTGCAGAGTGAATATGAAATGCTGTGATTTGCGAAGACCCGGCCCCACTGAGTGCCTGCCCAGCCTGCAGAGAGACTGGGGTCTTCTCCCAGGCAGGGGCAGGGTTCTCCTCTGTGACCCACCCCGTCTCTAACTGCCCTTCCTACCCAGAGAGCACACTCACACCTCACCCTCACCTCTGACCCTGAAGCCTCAGTGCTTAGGCTGGAACTGGGCTTTGCTGTTGAATTTCCCAGCTTGGCGTTGGTGGGCCATGGAGGGTCCCGGACCAGAGGGGGGAGGTTTTGGCCCACACGGGAGTGTTGAGCCTTCTTCCAGCAAACCCAGAGCCTAATAGGCTCGCTCTATCTACTGTTTGCTCCTGAAGGGCTGACCTCTGACCTTTCTGTGCCTTCTGCTGGTTCCAGCCTGTGCAGGGCGGGTAGGTGGTAACAGGCGTGTCTGACTCTGCGATGCCTGCGGGCCCCTCCCCAGAGGGAGAGCTGGGCCCCCTCACGTGTGGGGAAACTGAGGCTCAGGGCAGAGAGGTGATGTAATGGTGCTCGTACCCCTGTCCCCAGGGCACCCCGCTCAAGTACGACACGGGCACCTCTTGCACCGGCTCTAAGAAGCACGATGTGCGCTCCATCATCGGCAGCCCCGGCCGCACCTTCCCCCCCGTGCACCCGCTGGACGTGATGGCGGACGCCCGGGCGCTGGAGCGTGCCTGCTACGAGGAGACACTCAAGTGCCGGCCGGGGGCCGTCAGCAGCTCCGGGGGTTCCATCACCCGGGGAGCCCCGGTCATCGTGCCCGAGCTAGGCAAGCCGCGGCAGAGCCCCCTGACCTACGAGGACCACGGGGCGCCCTTCACTGGCCACCTGCCCCGCGGCTCGCCTGTGACCACGCGGGAGCCCACCCCACGCCTGCAGGAGGGTGCGTGGGGCGGCGGGAGGGTGCCTGGGCCGGGCTGGGCGCCCACCGGGCAGGCCGCCTAGCTCTCCCTGTCGGAAACCAGCACAGCTAACCCTCTTGCCTTCAAAGTGCACTCAGCACTGTCCGCGTTGGCGCCCCCCGTCCCCAGACCGCCCCCCTTCGCCCCCACTGCCCCTGCTTGCCAGGTGGCGGCCAGAAATCCCTTGACAAGTTGGCCTCCCGTTTGCCCGTCTCCTGCCTGTGCCTTCCAGCGGCCGCCCCTCGCTGCTGTCTCAGTCCTCCCTGCGTCTGGCCCAGCCGCCGGCCCCCGCCCCACGCTCGCGCCATGCCCGGGGCCTCGGCACCTGCTGGGCCTCTCTCGCCACCTTCAGACTTTGACTGCACTGGTCTCTTCATCCTTGGGTCTCTGCACCCCTTGCCCCCACACGTGTCATACTCCGTCACCCATCACCCTGGAATCCCAACATGGTGCTCGGCAGACATCTTTCTCGTGCAGTGAGGGCCGGGTTTTTGTCTGCTTTGCTCGCCATGGTGGCCGCAGCTCTCAGGGTGGAGCTTGGCCTGCAGGCGAGGCTCTCGGGCATGTTTGGTTGATGAAAGGCTGAGTGCGTTTTGCAGAGGCAGCGAGAGACGGGAGCTAGTGAGTGAGTGGGTGGAGTGAGAGGGGATGCGCGCCCAGCGGATGGGTGAGTGAGAGGCCTGGGCCAGAACCCGCAGCGCTCAGCCCCTTGGACACGAGCTTGGGGGCCAGCTGCGGCACCGAGCACCCTTGCCGTCCCCACAGGCAGCCTCTCGTCCAGCAAGGCGTCCCAGGACCGGAAGCTGACTTCCACGCCCCGCGAGATCGCCAAGTCCCCGCACAGCGCCGTGCCCGAGCACCACCCTCACCCCATCTCCCCCTACGAGCACCTGCTTCGGGGCGTGAGCGGCGTGGACCTGTACCGCGGCCACATCCCCCTGGCCTTCGACCCCGCCGCCATTCCCCGTGGGATCCCGCTCGACGCAGGTGACCGCCTGGGACCCAGAGACGCCCACAGCCCCAGGGCCGGCCCCGGGCCGGGATTCCCTCTGGGACTCCCCAGAATCTGATGGGGTATCTTGGGGCCCAGAGGGGAGAGCCCCTCATGTGACCAGCTGAGGCCAGAGTGGGGTTTCTAGTGAAGCCTCAGGCTGGGTTCCCTCCTCCAGGGGGCCTCCCTTTACACTCCCACCGCCACTCCACTACGGCACAGAGCAAGGAACAGCCGGGGCGCCTCTATTTTGAAGGCTGCATCACCTCGTGTGGGTTTTGGTGGCCCCTGATTTGGATGCCAGCTTGGGGGAGGACTCCACCCCCAAGACAGTAGCCAACACACACACCGTGTGTTCCAGGGAACAAGTATTTTCTTACTTCTAGGCCCTTGATTTTGTTCTTGGGGGTGTGTGGGGCTGAGACCCGTGGGGGTGGGGCCGCCCTGACCTGGCCCTCCTCCGTAGCCGCCGCCTATTACTTGCCCCGGCACCTGGCACCCAGCCCCACCTACTCGCACCTGTACCCGCCGTACCTCATCCGCGGCTACCCCGACACGGCCGCGCTGGAGAACCGCCAGACCATCATCAACGACTACATCACCTCGCAGCAGATGCACCACAACGCGGCGGCCGCCATGGCCCAGCGCGCCGACGTGCTGCGGGGCCTGTCTCCCCGGGAGTCCTCGCTGGCCCTGAACTACGCCACCGGCCCACGAGGTGGGTAGCTGGACACTCCAGCCAGGGTCACTCGAGGTGGCAGCGGAGCCCCCCGTGAGCATGCAGGGTGCTGGGGCCCCACGGGTGGGGGGGCCCCTGAGGGCGTGCAGGTCTGGCAGGCGTAGAGCTCGGGCCCCGAGGCCACGTGGGGCTGGCTGCACCTGAGGTGTGGGCTCGGGAGTGCAGGTCCTTGGCTCTGAAGCGACGGGCAGGTGTGACGCTGTTTGCCTTGGCTCCCTTGACTTGCAAATAGCCTGGGAGCTCTGCACACGCTGTGCACACGCTGACGGCAGCTTCTGGACACACCTCCCCAGTGTCCTGGGAGGGCTGAGCGCTCGGTAGGAGCCGGCCAGGAAGGGCCACAGCATAGCCAGTGTCGCTAATGGCTGGGGGTCAAGCACAGGGAGTCGGCTGCGGGCCAGGCTGGCAGAGTCGGGAACCTGCCTGCTAGGTGAGCCAGTGGTGCCACCTGCAGGAAACAGCCGCCACTAGGGTGGGGCGTGGAGGGAGGGGCCACCCGAAAGAGGTCCCTGGACATCGAGGCCACCGCTGCAACCTCTCTTGAGCGCAGCACCGCTCCACCTGCCCCTCCCCACCCCTGCAGCTAACTGCCGCCTCTGCCAACTTCCTCAGGTATCATTGACCTGTCCCAAGTGCCACACCTGCCTGTGCTGGTGCCTCCAACACCGGGCACACCAGCCACCGCCATGGACCGCCTCGCCTACCTCCCCACTGCACCGCAGCACTTCGGCAGACTCAGCAGCTCCCCGCTCTCCCCAGGTAACTCCTGCACCTCTTCCTGGGTCAGGACTGGGGCCCCTGGGCAAGGTCACTAGGTGTCCTCAAGCAGGTACCTTGCCCTGTCTGTTCTACCCCAGAAGGCAGGTCGAGGCTCTGGTGGCCCTGGGGCTGAGTCTCACTCAGCCCTTTCATTTCCAGGGGGCCCCACGCACTTGACAAAACCAACTGCCACGTCCTCGTCTGAGAGGGAGCGAGAGCGGGACCGGGACCGCGAGCGGGACCGGGACCGCGAGCGGGAGCGCGAGAAGTCCATCCTCGCGTCCACCACAACGGTAGAGCATGCACCCATCTGGAGACCTGGTAGGGATCAGAGCCCCTCTCCAGCCCCCCGTCCCGAGCCCCACGGCCCGTGTGTCCGCACCTGGCCAGCCCCTGACCCCCGGCCGTCTCCAGGTACAGAGCAGAGCAGCGGTGGGAGTGGCAGCAGCCGCCCCGCCTCCCACTCCCACCAGCACTCGCCCATCTCCCCGCGGACCCAGGACGCCATCCAGCAGAGACCCAGCGTGCTGCACAACACGGGCGTGAAGGGCATCATCACCTCCGTGGAGCCCAGCACGCCCACGGTCCTGAGGTGGGCCAGGTTGGCACAAGGGAGGGGGTGGGCGGGGGGTGGGTGCACACTGGTCAGATGTGTGGAGAAGTGGACGCGGGTACATGGAAGGACAGGCGAGGAGTGAGTGCACGTGGGCGGTGGGGTGGGTGGGGGTGAGTGCAGGAGAGCGCGGATGGCTACAGGAGGGGTGGGCGGGTCAGAAGGCGGGTAAGCCGGTCAGCAGGTGGGTCGGTGAAGGGCTGAGTGGGGGAGACCGGGTTCTGAATGGGTCAGTGGATGGGTGACAGGTGAGCTGGCAGTGGGTGGAGGGTGACGGGCAGTGGACAACTGTGGGAAGGGAGTGGATGACCGGTCAGGCGGGCGGTGAGTCCTTGGATGGAAGTGGTGGCTAGGTGGGTGGGTATGTAATTAGAAGGACAGCAGGGTAGGTAATGGATTGGGGGCATGGTGAGTTAGGTATGTAGGTGGGTGGGTGGGTGGGCGGGCAGGGGATGTTCGGTTAGGTGGGTGGATGGATCATAGGTGGGTGGGTGGATTGGGCGATGACTTAGGCAGGTGGATGAACAAGCGGGGGATGTTGGGTACAGCTCTGGAAAGCAGAGGGGTGAGAGCTGGGAGAGAGACTCCCCCTAAGGTGAAAGTGATGGCACAGGCGCGAACAGAGTCCACTCACTCCCACGTGCGCCCAGGTCCCTGTTGGCGGGAGCCCCGGAGACTGGGCAGAGCTGCTTACCTGGGCCCCTCCCCACTGGGGACATGACTCCAGGTAGCTGTCTCCATTCGTATAAGTGCCACCCCCATTTGACTGCTTGAAGTCACAGCCGCCCCCCCACGACAAGTGTGAAAAATGATGCTGTTGTTCCCCAGAAGCATTGGCTTTGTCCCCCGACTCAGGGCGGAAGCATTGGCTGACCAGAGCGTGGTCACTGGTTTCTCTGGGCTAACACAGCCAACCAGAAACCCGGTTGGGGCGATGTGTCCCCTTCCCGGGGCAGCTGAGGACCCCCGGGCAGTGAAAGGCCTCGAGAAATGCTGGGGTTGGCAGGAGGCCACTGGGGGCAACGTCAGCACATAGCCAGGCCTCGGTTTCCTCATCTGCAGAGCGGGCATATTGTTCTCCCGCAGCAGGTCAGCAGTGATAAGCTCTCCGTCCCTTCAGCCGGCAGCCTGCTGGGGGGCTCCTCCTGCAGCAGCGGCTTGTGCAGGCCCTGCCCCCTGGGGTCTGGACCAGGCAGTGGTCCGGGAAGGCTCCCTGGAGGAAGGGGCATGAGCCAGCCCTGCTGGGGTGGGGAGAGCTGTCCAGGCAGAGGGGCTGGCCGGAGTCCTGGAAGGTCGGGGTCTTTTGGTCCGCGGTGCGCGGTGGGCCGCGGGGCCTGCTTCGCCTCTTCTGTCCCCTCCCACTGAACGGTTGTCTAGCCACCCAGTCTGGCCGACCCTCGGGGCCTTTGTCCGGCCATTTGCCCTTCACTGGGCTCTCATTTATTTACTTCTGTGTCCTCAGCTGGCCCGCTCACATGCCAGCTCCCGAGACAGACCCTGCAGGCCCCACCTGGCTGCTGTGCCCTTTCACCCCGACTCCCTGCTGCCCTGCAGGGGCCACGCGCTGCCGGGCCCTCGGCCTGTCCGTCACCCCTACGCAGTCTGGCTTCTCCGGGAGCTTGGAAGCCCTTCCGCGTTACTTCCTGCTTCTCGCCCAGCACCGCCCCGTGTCTAGGGCAGTGCTTGACGCCCAGGAGACGCTCAGCTCAGAGTTGTGCAGTGTTGACGTTGAGTGCGAGTGTGAGTGGCGGGCTAGGTGAGGCCGCGTCAGGATGGCCTGTGGGAGCAGCCGGGAGCTGTGGACAGGATTCCGAGGTTGGGGCTCTCCGGAGGCTCAAGCGAGGGTGCGACCTGACCTGGGCTCCTGGACCCCGCATCTGACTCTGCAGCTGCCTGACCCCTGTCTCTTCTCCCCAGGTCCACCTCCACCTCCTCACCTGTCCGCCCGGCGGCCACATTCCCGCCCGCTGCCCACTGCCCACTGGGTGCCACCCTGGATGGGGTCTACCCCCCGCTCTCGGAGCCGGTCCTGCTGCCCAAGGAGGCGCCGCGGGGGGCGCGGCCTGAGCGGCCCCGGGCAGAAGCCGGCCACGCCTTCCTCCCCAAGCCCCCCGCCCGCTCGGCGCTGGAGCCCGCCTCGTCCCCCGGCAAGGCCACCGAGCCCCGACCCCTGGTGCCGCCCGGCTCCAGCCACTCTGCCATCGCCCGCACCCCAGCAAAGAGCCTCGCACCCCACCACACCAGCCCGGACCCGCCGGCGCCCCCCGCCTCAGCCGCGGACCCGCACCGGGAAAAGACTCAAAGTAAACCCTTTTCCATCCAGGAATTGGAACTCCGTTCTCTGGGTAAGACCACCCTGACAGCGGCCACCTTCATAGACGCGATTATCATGCGTCAAATTGCTCACGATAAAGGGCCGCGAGAAGGAGGTTCGCTGGCCGACGACTCCGCTCGCGATGGTAAGACTTCCGGCCCCGCCGCCGCCCGCCCGCCCCGTCTCGTGGCCTCGAGATATTTTCAGATCTCTGCTTTTTATTTTTCCCCTCATATTTTTGTTGGTTTCGGCATTTTGGTTTAAACCCGTCTTCGTCGATTGCACGTTCTGGCGACTCCTCCGGCTGCCGCCCGCCCGCCTCCGCAGGCGCTTCATCATTTGCACATCGTTCTATCGTGATTTTTTTTTTTTTTTTGGATTTTCGCTTTTTTATTTTTTATTTTTTTTCCTTTGATGAATGGATCTGTGATTTCGACCTCAACTGCGCCTCCCATCCTCCCCTCTGCGCACCTTCGTTTGGGGAGCAGGAAGCGGGGCAGCAGGGCTCGGGCCAAACTCACTGGAGGGTCCTGCAGGGGGGGGGGGGGAGGAGGTGGGAGGGCGCTCCTGCTTCCCAGGACATCGGTATCCTCGGCCCTGCGTCCTGCCTAGCTGGAGGGCGTTGGGGGGCGTGCCTGCCCCCCATGTCCCTTCTAGCCCATTGCCAGAAGCCCCCGCCCCAGGGGGGGCTCCTCTTTGCTGGACGGGGGTGGGGGGGCTGCGGAGGCTGTGACCCAAGTGAGGGCGCCCCAGGACAGTCACGCACGTTCTCCTGCCCAGCCAACCTCGCTCCTTCACTCGTCACTGCTGCCCCCCATTTCACTCCTGCTTTTCCTCTCTCCCGACCCCCAACATCTAGACCGGTGCCTCTGGCTCTCTTTCCGCTTCGGTCTGTCTCTGCCCTCACGTGGTCTGTTGATCTCTGCTCTTCTCCGTCTCTCTTGACCTCCCAGTCTCCATCCATAGGAGCCCTCTCTCCTGTGTCCGTGCACACCCACCCCTGGCCTGCCAGCTGCCCCCTGCTCGGGCTCCCCCGTCACTTTACTGCCCCCAGTCTCCCCTTCGGCCCCGGGGACCCAGCCAGCGTGGGAGGGTGGCTGGGAGGGAGAGCCCGACGCCCCCTGGCCCGGCCCCTGACCTGCCTGCCCACTGTAGGGTACCACGGCGGCAGCTACAGCCCCGATGGGGTGGAGCCCGTCAGCCCCGTGACCTCACCCAGCCATGACAAGGGGCTCCCCAAACACCTCGAGGAGCTTGACAAGAGCCACCTGGAAGGGGAGCTGCGGCACAAGCAGCCAGGTAGGGCCCGCCCACTGCGGCCCACCCCACGGATGGGCAGGCCGAGGTGCCGGAGGGGGCAGTCAGCCCAGACGCCCACTCCAAGCCCAGCCCCGGCTGGCAGCCGCCTCACCCCTCCTGCCCGCTCAACGGCTCTGCTTTGCCCGCAGGCCCCGGGAAGCTCGGCGGCGAGGCCACACACCTGCCCCACCTGCGGCCGTTGCCCGAGAACCAGCCCTCATCCAGCCCGCTGCTGCAGGCCGCCCCGGGGGTCAAAGGTCACCAGCGGGTGGTCACTCTGGCACAGCACATCAGTGTAACTACCCCTCTGACCCCTCCCAGCACCATTTACCTGGGGAGCCAGGCCCAGGGGGGCGCAGAGGCCAAGCACAGCCGCATTCTCTGGTGGGGAACCGAGGCCCAGTTGGGCGGGCAGGGATCTGGGGCTCGGTGAGGAAGCCCTCAGGGTCCCCCAGACCTCAGACTCAGACCAGGGCCGCCCCTGCCCAGCTGCCTACCTCTTGGGGTCCCCGGTCTGAGACCACCCGGCCCTGCCCCCATCCCACGCTTGCTGGGCAGGTCCCAAAGCACTGAGGCAGAACTCAGCCCCAGACTTAGTCCAGCCCTCTCCCACGGCCTGACCAGCCTCTCTCCTGCTCTGGGCTGCAGGAGGTCATCACGCAGGACTACACGCGTCACCACCCACAGCAGCTCAACACACCCCTCCCTGCCCCTCTCTACTCCTTCCCCGGGGCCAGCTGCCCCGTCCTGGACCTCCGCCGCCCACCCAGTGACCTCTACCTCCCACCCCCGGACCATGGCGCCCCGACCCGTGGCTCCCCCCACAGCGAGGGGGGCAAGAGGTGAGCACTGGGGAGGGCCAGGGCCTGGCTGGTGCTGTTGCCCGGGAGAGGCTGGGGCTGGGGTGCCCCGAGCTGACAGATAATAATGGACACGTGGCCGCCCTCTGGGTTCCAGACAAGTGGTCACCTGGGTTCTTACACAGTCCCGGGTGTATGACCAGGGAAGGTGGAGCTGGGTTGGCTGAGCGGCCTGTGGGGACACCCTCAGCCCCGACCCTAGGGGTTGGGAGCAGTTCCACGTGCAGGTGCTGGGTGTCAGGCCCAGGACGTCTCTGGGGGAGCAGCAAAGTGCCTGCCTTGGAGTGCAGGAGGGGTCTGCAAAGTAGCTCCCACTGCCTGCCTTCTCACAGGCTGTGGGCAGAAGGTAGTTTTGCTTTCAGGCGGTTGCAGGGGGAAGAATCAAGAATATATAGCAAAGGCCACAGGTGGTCCAAAATGCCTGAAATCCTTAGTGCCTGACTGCAGAGAAAGCACGCGGAGCTGCTTCAGAGCAAGGATGGGTGGGAGAGGAATGCCCTGGGGAGGGTGCACTGAGCACCCCAGGGGCCTCTCTCCACCCAGGTCTCCAGAGCCAAGCAAGACGGCAGCCCTGGGCAGCAGCGAGGATGGGATTGAGCCCGTGTCCCCACCCGAGGGCATGGCTGAGCCCGGACATCCCCGGAGTGCTATGTACCCGCTGCTCTACCGGGATGGGGAGCCGGCAGAGCCCAGGTACCCCAGGGCGCCTGGGACTTGGGGCTCAGCGCCTGGCCAACCATGGCCCTCACTGATAAGGCCTCACTGTGCACTGGGGGCTCAGACCTGCTTGGCATACACCACAGCTGCAGGGGCCGCTTCCTGAGCCTCAGGCCAGGGTCCCTTAGCTCAGGCCGGGCCCTGCTTGCCAGCACCTGCTGAAGCCATAAGTGAGAATGAGCTCGGCGTGCTGGCCACTTCGGGGCTCGGGAGGCGTGGGGGCGGACCACCAGCCTGGGGAGGGGTGCGGCCTTCCCAGTGTGTGGGCTAGAGCAGGCAGCGTGATGGCCGACCCGGGCAGCTCGGGTCTCTGGAGCTCGGGCATCTGAGCTCAAGGACAGGTGAGCCACAGAGATTTCAGGACGCAGTGCCTTGGAGGCGGAGGAGGTGGGCACGGGGTGGGGGCGCTGGGTCCCGAGTTCCTAAGGCAGTACAGGGGATGAGCGTCCCTCACCGTTCAGTGCCCATGAGCTGACTCCAGGGCACCCGGTCCTTGCAGCAGGATGGGCTCCAAGTCTCCAGGCAACACCAGCCAGCCGCCAGCCTTCTTCAGCAAGCTGACGGAGAGCAACTCTGCCATGGTCAAGTCCAAGAAACAGGAGATCAACAAGAAGCTGAACACCCACAACCGCAATGAGCCGGAATACAGTAAGGCCTGCGGGGGACTGGGGCGAGGGATGGCATGGCAGCAGAGAGCCGCTTGCCAAAGCCAGGTGGGCTCCTGTGCACCTTTGCCCCACATCCAAGGACCCCCTGGGGCCTCGGTTTGCTGGCACTGAGTGTGGCAGCTAGAAGGCTGCCTAAGCCCCTCCAGGAGGTGGTGGTCAGACCCGTGCACACCCCTGTTCATGAGCTGTGACTGGGCTCTGTTCTGTGGTAACAGGTGTAAATCCTGGCTCTGGTGACAGGCCCTTTGCACGGCGCCTGGCCCGGAGCAGTCCCCATGGCTTAGAGGTGCCATGAACTGAGAATCAGCCACCATCTGTGGTTTCAGGAAACCTTGCTTGCCGTGGGGCCTGGGGCAAAAAGTTTTTCTGGAGCCGAGTAGCAGGCTTATCTTCAGGCCATTGGCCAGGCTGGCAGCCCTAGAGCCTCGCCAAATACCCTCCACGGACCAGACCTGGCTCAGTCTAGACAGGGCAGGTGGGGGCAGGTGATTTCCAGGACCTGTGGGTCTCACCCCTCTCATCCACATGCCCCTCCAGATATCGGCCAGCCAGGGACAGAGATCTTTAACATGCCGGCCATCACCGGAGCAGGTAACCACCCAGCCCTGCCCCTGCCCACCATCACTGCCAAGCCTGAGGGTGTGTCGGGGGGCGTCTGGAGTTGACCTCAAGGCCCCTGGTGTGCTCATCACAGTGGCAGATGCACGCACACCCGTCAGGAAACTTCCCTCGCCGTGGGCCGGGTCTTGGGAGGTGTGCACGTGGGGACGGGCATGGACAGCTTCCCTTGGGGTCCATGTGGGTAGTTTAACAGACAGAACATCAGTGTTGCTTGAAGATATGGGCCAGGTCAGATGCAGACGTGTGGCAGAGACGGATCCAAAATTCCCATGCATTCTTGAGCTAGAAACTAAGACTGCTGTGGGGTTTTGGAATAGGGGAACCCTGGAGGTTGAGCCCATTCTGCAGCAGGGACCACACTGCCTGCCGCCTCTTTGGAAGCAACTGGGGTGTACTGGGGGAAGTTTTCTTAAGGAGTCTGCTATGAAGGCTGGAGCCCAGTGCAGATGGGGGGCTTGCCCTCTGTGGGAGCCCCCTGGCGGGCCAAGCAGCCTGGGCTGGTGGTGTGGCTTCTGTCTGTGTTTCACTGGGGCCCTGGGGCCAGAGAGTGGGGCAGATGTGCTGACCTGCCCTGGGGGCCTGCCAGGGCCTTTGAGCCTCGAGAACAGTGAGCAGAAGAGAACGGGATTTCTTGGGGGGAATCAGAGCCTCCAAATAGGGGTTGCGACTGGGGCACATCTGTCTGCCCAGAGACCAGACACCGGTGGCTGCACTGAGCACACAGGCCATGGAGAGGCAATTTGGTGGAAACAACAAGGTGGTTAGAAATGAATGTTTCCAGAATGTTCTGCGTCTCAATATAGACTGGACACACACAGGTGCATACGCGCGCTGAACTTCACGCAGCCACGCAATGGAGACGTGGGCTAAAAGTCGATCGCATCTGACTCTGTAGAAGTTTAGTCCACAACACCGTTCCCTAGACCCCATCTCTGCCGCTGCCCTTCCCGACTTTGCTTTGTAACAGAGACGCCCAGCTCCTCCCGCCCGCCCTGGTGTCTGTTCACCGGGTGTCGGATGCCTTGGGTGGGGTCATGGCAGCCAGTGCTTGCTTAGACATGCAGAAGTGCTCCCCCGGCTTTTCCTCGGCTCACACGGCTTTTTTTAAGTGTTAATGAAGCATGGCCAAGGTGGAGAGGCCGTCCCTGGCGGCAGGCGAGCTTGTGATTAAAAGGGAAAGGGGACAATCCCCGAGAAGGTGGCGCACTGAAAGGGACGCGCTCCCCTCACACTGTGGGAGTTTCACCTTCATGGCCGCGGTGCCTTGCCCAGACACCGGCTGGCAGACTTGAGCGGTTTGATTTCAAGGACTGCCCAAAAGAGACAGTCCGCAGGTGGCCAAGTCCCCTACGGGCCCAGGCGGAGGGGCCAGAGGCCTGGCGGACAGCCGGGCTTGGTGGGGTGCACAGTGGGTGTCTGGGAGGTTCCGCCTGGGGCGGCCCCCTTTGTGACGGGGGCGGGGCCGGGCCGGGGTCGTGCCACTGTGTCCAGCGCTGCCCTGTCCGCCGCACGCACTGTAACTGCATGGCTATGACCCTTCACCGTCCGTTTCTGCTCCTTTCTCCTTGTGGCTCCGGGGGGGGCGGGGGGTGCGGCAGGCCAGCTGGGCAGGGGTCAGACCCCAGGGGGGCAGCCGGGTCATGGGCGGTCACTTCTCCTCCCTCCCCCGCCCATCCCGGGGACCCCCCAGGCCCCCTCTCCCAATGCTCTGGACCTACTTCTGCCCTGACCCAGTTTCCTAGCAGCCCCTTCACCAAACTGGGTGACCTCTGGCTCCCTCACATCCCTTTCCCCACCCCACCCCCCTTTTTAAGACCACTTGAAATTTAAAAAACAGCCCCAGATGGTTTGGGGGGTTGTGGGGGGCGGGCAGAGGGATCTCTGATTCCCCACAAGGCAAAGCAGAAATGAGACGGGGCGCATCTCCCCTCCCCTCCCCTCCCCTCCCCAACCTCCCCGAGGCACCCCAAGAGCTTCTGGGGCCCACCTAGAGGGAGCCCCCCTACTCCTCTGGCACCCTGGAGAAAAGTGAGGGGGGATAGGGAAGCAGGGAACCCAGTGCTTGCGGAAATGTGCTCACCGTGTATTTCTCTCTCCTCCCTCTCCCCCTGCGTCCCTCCCTCTCCCAATGTCCCGGCCCCTCCCGGCCCCTGTGTGTCTGTCTCTCTCTCCCAGGCCTTATGACCTGTAGGAGCCAGGCGGTGCAGGAGCATGCCAGCACCAACATGGGGCTGGAGGCCATAATTAGAAAGGCGCTCATGGGTAAATATGACCAGTGGGAGGAGCACCCGCTCAGCGCCAATGCTTTTAACCCTCTGAGTGCCGGTGCCAGCCTGCCCGCTGCTATGCCCATAACCGCTGCTGACGGACGGAGCGAACACGCACTCACCTCGCCAGGTCTGCAGACCTCCCGTCTGTCCCCCACCCGGTGTCATTAATCGTCCTCCCTCACCCCCCACCCCGCCCCTTGTTCCTCTGACCAGCCCCCTCCAGCTTCCGAGCTTGTGACTTTATCGTTGTGCCTGTTTGATGTCGCCCTGCAGTTGGCTCACCCCAAGCCGGCCGGGCACCCCAAGTGTCCAAGTTGCCGGCCTCCTGCCCACTAGCCCAAAGGAGCTGCTGCTTTTCTAAAACCGCTCACACTGCTGCCCAAGCCCTACCCTGCCTTCTCCTCTGGGCACAGGCCCCAGGGTCCTGGCCCGGCCGCTCTGTGTGGGTCGGGGGCCGCTGGGCCCCGGGAAGCCAGGTCAGAGGGCTCGGCCTTTCTGGGGACACGCTGTGCGTGCTGCTGTCCCTGGGCCTGATGGAGGGGACCATGTCTATTGGGGGCCGACCCCATGCTCAGACGAGGACTTGGGGAAACCAGAGGAGCCGGCTCCCTCCGCCCCCAGCCCCTGACCTGTTCTGCCGCATCAGTGTAGGGGAACAGAGCGATCTAGCACCCACATGCCCCACGGGGCTCTGTGGCCCCAGCCCAGCCTGGGCATCTGGCTCTTCTGCTGACCCCCCTGCCACACACAGCCCTGGGGTAAATTTTAGGACCAGACCCTCAGGGGTCAGCCCACACCCCTGGTGGAGAATCAGCCCCCAGTTTCGGCTGACGGCCAGTCAGGCCAGCTGGCCCACCAACTTGGCTCTCCATTGGGGCGAGCTGCTGTTCCGCCACCCCACCTGGGGCTGGGAGCCAGGGAGCCAGGGCCTCAGCCTACCCCCCCCCCCATGGCAAGTGCCGTCTTCACCCCAGCATTCCCTCCATGCATCCCCTGCAGGTGGTGGCGGGAAGGCCAAAGTCTCTGGCAGACCCAGCAGTCGAAAAGCCAAGTCCCCAGCCCCAGGCCTGGCGCCCGGAGACCGGCCGCCCTCGGTCTCCTCGGTGCACTCGGAGGGAGACTGCAACCGCCGGACCCCACTCACCAGCCGCGTGTGGGAGGACCGGCCCTCATCCGCAGGTGGGCAGGGGCAGCGCTGGGCCAGGATGGTGCCCAAGCACCCTCTGTGCGTGGAGCACCCAGCAGGCAGTTCAGGGCCTGGCTGGCCGAGCCCCAGCTCGTGAACAGCCCCCGGGGCGGGCAGGGTGGAGTGGAGGGTGTGACCCCAGAGGGGCCTGGGGAAGCCTGCCTCTGGCCCTGACCAGTGCCGGTGAGGGGTTCCAGAAGCAGAGTGGTGGGGGAGGCAGAGACTCATCTAGAGCTAGGTGGCGGGAGGGCGGGCTTTTCCCTGGAGGAGAGCCTGGAGGGTGTTGAGTGGGGAGAGCCCGAGAGCCTGGGGTCTCGGAAGGGGGGGCAGTGGCGGGGCAGCGACTTACCTGGCCCTGCTGACCAGGCATGGGCAGGTGCACATGCTTGGGTTGTGGCAGATGGAAGCTGGTAACTCTAAGGAAGCTTCCAGAAGCTAGAGGGTTGGGACAGCAGCCAGGCAGAGGCCCACCCCCATCCCGGTGTGGTGGGCGGCCAGGCTGGGATCGGGGTGGGGGTCCTCCTAGCTCGTGGGGCCTCCCGGGCACCATCTCTACCCATCTTTCCGGCAGGTTCCACGCCGTTCCCCTACAACCCCCTGATCATGCGACTGCAAGCTGGGGTCATGGCCTCCCCCCCTCCACCTGGCCTGCCCACGGGTGGCGGGCCTCTTGCCGGACCCCACCACGCCTGGGATGAGGAGCCCAAGCCGCTGCTGTGCTCACAGTACGAAACACTCTCCGACAGCGAGTGACTGACCCGTGGGGTGGGGGCGGCGCCGGGGCCCAGCGAGGAGCGGGATCAGACGGCCAGGAGCGGGTTGGCTGCCAACTCCCCCTGCCGAGGAAGGAGCCCCTGAGTCTGCCTGCGTGCCCGTCTGTCCGTCCATCCAGAGCTGGCATCCTTGCCTGTCTAAAGCCTTAACTACGATTCCCGCCCCGGGCTGGCCCTGTGCAGTGACCTTACTCAGGGGATGTTTACCTGGTGCTCGGGAGGGGAGGGGCCGGGGAGGGGGCGCGGCGGGCGTGCGGTGGCCACACGCCCAAGGCCGGGGCGGCCAGGGACCCAAAGCAGGACGACCATGCACCTCCCATGCCACTGCCTCCCCGCTTAATGCATTTGGAACCAAAGTCTAAACTGAGCTAGCAGCCCCCTGCTCCGCCCCTCCGCCCCCATCCTGCTTAGCGCTCTGGACAGAGGGACGCAGGCCCTGTCCAGCCCCCAGCGCTCTCATCCCGGTCCCCATGGGCTGCCCCAGCCAATGAGACTGCTGGAAACCACGTCAGACCAGATGGGTGGGCGAAAGGGCCAGGTGTGGCCTGGGGCGTGCGGATGCTCCAAGGAACTGGACTGTTTTTTTCACACATCGTTGCCGCAGCGGTGGGAAGGAAAGGCAGGTGTAAATGATGTATTGGTTTACAGGGTATATTTTTGATACCTTCAATGAATTAATTCAGATGTTTTACGCAAGGAAGGACTTAACCCAGTATTATTGCTGCTGTGCTTTCGATCTCTGCTTACCGTTCAAGAGGCGTGTGCAGGCCAACAGTGGTGACCCCATTGTCCACGGGACTGAAGGGGTGGGCCGTGGGCTCCAGTGCCCGCTCCTGCACTGGACCAGCCCCCTGCGTCCTCCCCCTCCCTCCCTCGGGCAGGATGACCTTGATGGGTATTCTGTGGCCGCTGTCTGCGCACGCAGTGGCGTTCTGTCATTTTCACACGTTGTTCTCATTAAAAGGCAAATTATACTCAAGTTACAAAGGTGTCTTCTCTACCTTGGACTGGCAGCCAGGAGGGCAGGCAGCTGGAGATTTTGGGGGGCAGTGGGAGTGTAAGCCAGGACGGCCAGGAACACCCCTCGGTCAGACTTGTTCTCCAAGGTGAGGGTGTCCCCACCAGGCATGGAGCTTCCCGCCCACGAAGCCACTGAGTGTCCACACCAAGGGCGGGCCACGTCTTTACACTCACATCCCTGGTGGCTGTTGCCAGTTCCTAGCTGCCCGCTCCTTTACTGTGGAGAGGGAGGGCAGACACCCCCACACCTGTGGGAAAGGCGCCCATGCCCACAGGAGCGGAGCCAGGGGTGCTGCCCGCCTCATAACACATGCATCTGCTCTGCTTCTGGTGGGAGCTCCAGTGGCCTCTCTGGCCCTCACCCTCTTGCCCTCCCTCTGGGGCCCCCCAGAGCTCAGAGGCCCTGCCCATTCAGCCCTGGCTGCCTGTGTAGGTCCACGCCCCCTCCCCCCCCAGGCCCTGTGTCTGCCCCTGCTCTATGGGAGGCCTGTGATGGAAGGGCTTGGGGCTCTCCCCCACCCCCGCCTGGGCCCGACCTGTCCCCAGGTTCTGCTGCCAGTGGTGGAGGCCCTGGCATGGACAGCTGTGCCCTGGGGGCCTGGGTGGTGCCTCTGTTCACTAGTGGAAGGTTGGGCTGCCTTCCCCTGAGCCTCGAGGCCCGTGTAGTGAAGGGCTGCCCTCTGCGGCCACCCCTTCTCCAAGCAGTTAGAGGACCTCCACCCTGGCAGAGCTGGGGTCAGTCCTGCACGGCGGGGTGAGGGCCCTCAACTGTCCCACTTGCCTCCCTCTGCAGAGGCCCCTTGTTCATGTCCACAGCGGGCAGCCATGGGGGTTGCACGCAGCAAGGTGCCCCACACCAGCTGTTCCCAGGGGGTCTGGCTTGCCAGGATCATGAAAACTCCAAGAGCTCTAAGGAGTGTGGGAGGTACCTCTGCCCCTTACAGGTCCAGTGCTAGAAGGGTGAGCCCCACCAGGTAGTCGGCAAAGCAAGGCTTCTTTCTGCTCAGTCATGAAAAACCCAGGGGTTCTGCTTTAATCAACTCTACCCTGCCCTGCCTGCAGCCTCCAGCCAGACACCCAGAGTGGGGCGCACTCAGCCCATGGGCTCATGCCCAGTGTATGGCCAGGGAGCGCTGGTTAGAACACTGGCTCCCCGATGGGGCCTTGTCGGCAAGGACAGTCACAGCCCTGGGGGTCCTGCACACCCCAGCGGACATCCAGACCCCAGACCTGCCGCAGCTGGGGCTAGGGGAGGAGAGAGCCAGGGTTCTCTGGGGGTAGGCAGCCACCTGGCCCGCTCGCCTGGTCTGCACCTTTGCGAAGCTGGTGATGCCCAGTTCCAGGGGTCCCCACTCCCTCATGGGAGGGATGAAGGCTTGGAAGTGAGAGGGGCTTGTGTCAGGCTCCCCGGCAGCTTGAATCACCCCAAGGTGACCCCTCACTTAACCCTGCCAGCCAGTGCCACAGGTGAAACGAGAGCTCCTGGCATCCATGTGTGGAAGTACCAGTCTCTGTGGTCTTAGGACACTTGAGTGCCCACTGAGCCCTCCTTATTTGGGGGGCGGGAGGCTCACTACCCTCTCCACCACTGGGCTCAGCCCGGTACCCAGGTTGTAGTACTGCATCCAGAAGGCAGGTGGCAGTGTTGGGCTGGCAAAGGGTCATGTGCTGGGAGGGGCCTCCTCCAGCCAGTGCAGGCTAGCCCCACCTGAAATCCAGGACCCGTCAGGTCCTGGCCGCAACGGCCTCTGGGGCTCGACTCCACGTGCTGGGCCATACAAAAACCCAGGACCCCATAGCATCTCCTGAGGCTGCAGTCAGGACAGTTGCAATGGAGGCGGAGTGGGGGTGCCAGGTCTACATGGCCATCTCTGCCAGCCTCAGAGGAGGCCTGAGCTGGCACCACACGCCACCTCTGTCAGTCTTCTCTGAGGGCCGTGGCCCAGTCCAACATGTTTGCAGGACCTAGGGAGAGTCCCTTAGCCCCTGAAGGGTCATCCCACCTCAGTCATTTTGCTTCCTCACTACTCTGTCTTTAAAACATGGGCCTGTGTTGTTTCCCCTACTTCCATCTCCCTGGAAAACTCCTGCACATATGTCAAAACCCAGCTGGGGTTTCACTCCTCTAGAAGCTCATCATCTCTTGCCACCTCTCTCTGGTCTCTGCTAATACACTGTAAGCCGTCAGTGCTCCCACACACCAATCCCTCGAGAACAGAGCTCTTGGCTTTCCCTTCTGCCTGCCCAATCTGCACCCCTACCCCTACCCCTGTGAACTGAACTGACACAGTGAGGCCCAGGGAAGGACAGCTGTTAGCAAATGTTACCCATCTCGGGCATTAGGAAGCTGGTTAAAATGAAGCTCCACGGGCTCCCCCACTCTTGAGAATAAGATTGCGAATACAATTGTCAGGGAAACTGCCCAACAACAGCCAGGGGTCTCTGATTCCAGTGGCTTGTAGTCCTCACTAGTGTTGGGGGTGGGGGGTCAAGGTCGCAGGCATATCCTGGCCTGGAATCCAACCCTTCATTTCTGTCTGTCAAGAGTAGCCTGCCCCCCCACCCCCCGCCGTCCCAGTGTGAAGAGCTGACACCCACAGAGGGAGGAGGGGCCCCAAGGACCTGGGTTGACTCAGGACAAGCCAGAATAACATGACAGATGTGATAAGCCAAACTGGAGTAATCAAGATGGCTTCCTGGAGGTGTGGATGGGGTATCCTAGGAGGGCAAAGGTTGGGAGGTGAGGTCCAGTGGTGATGTGCTGGAACTGGGTGGCTGGACGTGTCCAGCCCTGGACTGCCATAAGGTAATTCACTGGGTTCCTGGAGTTGGGGTAGGTTGACTTGCAAGGCTGCTGGGGAATCATGAGGGAGAAAACAGGCCTGGGGAAACCAAAGTGGGGCCAGTATGGGGGGAGCAAGAAGGTCAAAAAGGCCAAGACAGTGTCCCCTACCCCAGGTGGGAGAGGGCCAGGCCACCTATGGGGCTGGGAGGAGGGGAAGCATGAGAGGAGGAGGACAAATGGGGGAGCCAGGTGTCTGGTTCACCCTCACCGCCACTTATTGGCTGTGTGGCCCAGGCCAAGTCACCTGACCGCTGTGCCTCAGTTTCCCCATTAAAACAGGGAGACCTTGGCAGTGCTATGATGGCTGTTGGGTTGTCTGGGTGCTCTCACCTGCCTGGGCTCAGATGGTAGCCTGGGAGGCAAAGACAGAATGGGTATGATCGCAGGGGAGGCAAGGAGGGCCGGCTGTGTATTTGGGGAGTAAACTGAGCGTGGGCCATTGTGTCTTGGAGAAGGGGAAGGAAGCCCTCCACGAAAACATGTTGGCTTTATAGCCTCCAGGAAGCCTTGAGGATTTGGGATTGGGTGTAGTGAGGACTTCTTTGTCCTTAGCCCTCACTCCAGTCCTTGCCCTGTGAGAGACAGTCCTCCTTCCAGGCAGGTAGCCCAGCAGGGAAGAGTCTGGATCTGCTTTCCCATTGGCGGTGTGACCCTGGGCAAGTGACTTAACGTCTCTGTGCCTTGCTTACTCCACTGTAAGATGGAGGTGGTCATACCAATGTTGGTGAGTAAGGCAGAAAGGTGTGAATGCCCAGAACATGAAACAGTGCTGGAAGTCTCCCTGGTCACTCACAACGGGCTCCAGGGGCTCTCTGCATGCGGGAGGAACAGGTGGTCAGGAGGGTGGAGGCCTACTCTGCAGAGAGCAGGGCCTTTTTCCAGGGACCAGGATGTAGAGTCCAGAGCTTATGGGGCTCTAAAATGCAGACCCTCGGGCCCGCCTTGGACTTGTCTAGGACTCAAGATCCTGGGCCTCGGCATTTTTTAATTTACTGCTATCTGTGAAGGTATCTTACCTAGGTATGTACATTCCTACAGTCGTAGTGACAAAATCGGAGACTATTATATTCACTGCTAGATCCTGAAGACTTTGAACTATTTCCAGAACATTCTAAGCCTTTCAGTTTTATTGACAAAGGAAAGCATGCAAAAAAAAACATGGGAAGAGTCCAAGAAAGTGGTTAAGCACCAGACAACGAAGCTGGTCTTCCTCCAAGACTATTCATATACGCAACGTCACGATCCATATGGTAATTCCCAAGAATGTAGGATTTTTTTGTGGAGGTGAGTTTGGGAAAATGCCAGGGTAGGTTAATCTTGAATCACCAAGTATAAAAAACTGGAGAACACGTCTCCTTAGTCTTTAAGGGGACACATTCTATTTCACACACAAACATTTGGGGGGTAGCTTTTGGGGGAGCCCTATCTAGGAGTAGAAGGCATGGCTCTGCCCCCACCCCAGCACCCCAGCCTACCCCCTCCCAAACCCCTGTAAGATTGGGGACCACAGAAGGTGAGGGCCTCAGAAACACTGAAGAGGGGGCTTCTGGTTCTGCACCTTTTATTAAGATCAACTGATGTCTTATTTGTTAATCAAAAAGCATCTCTGTGGAAGAACCTGCAGTATCTGTAGATCTTTAAAAATATACCTGTCGCTTTGCTGTCCCGGATGTGAGCTTGGAGTCACCTCTGTGCCCCGGTAAGCTTAAGCCCCAGAGAACCTCTCCTGATTGTGGGGTTCACAGCGGGTACTGCAGTGGCCCTATCTTGCTGGGGCCCGTCTGGTCCAAGACTATGCTGGGGGATCCTGGGGCATTTGTTCTGGTAGCACCAGCCCCAGCGCGACTCCAGCACATCCTGACTCATCCTGGCGTGCTGGCCGCTGCCTCCCTGCTGAGGGCCACTGGGGAGGGAGGCCACAGCACCGAGTCCTTACGTGCGGTAAAGGGTAAAGGCCACCCAGCCCCACGAATTCTTTCAGCCCACAGCTGGGCCCAGAGCCCGCTTAACGTCCAGACAGCACCAGACTGGTGGCGGCAGGCACTTCCGAGAGCTTAAAGGCCTCCCCTCCCCAGAAACCTGGCACAGAGGCCCTGGCACCAGGGCACGCTTGTCCTGCAGGCATGGTGTGCACAGAGGTCAGCCGGGGACGTCCGCAAGCACGGCCCTGGACGCCGAGCTCAAAGGCCTCCATCTAGATGGCTGTGGGCGAACCCACACTGGGGCCACGGGGGCCCTGAGGTGGGCCTTCTTCAGGCTGCGGCTCCTCTCCTCCTCGCCCCCAGCACAGAAGGAGCACCGGCCAGGCCTGCAGCACCAGCCAAGCCCGCAGCACCGGCCAGGCCTGCAGCTCATGCCCGACACCCCCCAGAGCCTAGGCCACCTCAGCCTGAACCTTCTGGGGCCAAGCTGCACAGGCCTCAAAGCCCCGTTTGGGGATGCACTTTCTAGGTGTAGTGGGCCCCCTCTCCCCTCACACTCGGCCTGGGAGCCTGGCCCCCCGGCCCCGACACAAGAGCCATGGGGGTGTCGATGTCAAGGAATCAAGGCTGGGGTGCTTCTGTCCTTCCAGCATCCTGGTCACCCTCTACCTCCAGAACCCACTGACGCCCCTCGCTTCCTTCCCTGCCCTCACTGGAGGTGGCCCACCCAAAGAGACCCTGACCCTGTGCTTGAGCCCAGGCCTGTGGCCTCACCGGCTTCCATGTGCAGAAAAACGGATGCTTTGACGGAGTCCGCCCCGGGTCGGGGTGAGCCCCTCGGTGAGCAGCCTGGGCAGGCGCCAGGAGCAGCGCCTCATCCACGCGACCCCCAGCTGGCGGCCTCCCCACGCCCTTGCCCAGGCTCCAGGCCCGGCCTCTGGAGCCAGTCCTTTGGGGCCCCGGCCCTTGCCGGTCACTGCCAGGGCCTGCCTACCCTGCTAGCGCGCTGGGGGGCCGGGGGAGCCCGGTCCTGTCTCGGGGGGCCCTGGGGGGCCTGGTCCTCTCCGGGGGGCCGGGGGAGCCCGGTCCTGTCTCGGGGGGCCCTGGGGGGCCTGGTCCTCTCCGGGGGGCCGGGGGAGCCCGGGGGCTGGGGCCCCGGGCGCTGGCACAGCTGCAGGTGCACGCTGGCAGTGAACCAGCGGCGGGGCCGGCCCAGGCTGCAGTGCAGGGTGGTCCGGAAAGTGTTGCTGGCGTGCTTGGGGAAGATGATGGTGGTGCTGCGGAAGCGCAGGGCGCGCGGCCGCGGCTCCAGGGTCAGCTGGCTGCGGTAGCTGCGCCACGTGCAGTTGGGGGCGGCCACGATGGTCTCGCTGTAGGCTGTGACTGTGGGCACCGGCGCGTAGAACACCTTGTCCCGGAAGTGCTTCTCCGAGGTGTACTTGACCTCAGAGTTGCAGCTGGAGGGGGTGGGAGGAGGTGGTCAGTCCAGGAGGGGACCACAGGGTGACCCACCCACGTGTCAGGGCCCTGGGCAGAACTCCAACAGAAAGGTCTCCTCTTCTCAGAAGTCAAGGTCGGGAAGGTCCAATGTGGGACTCGGGCAGCCTAGAGGGGGCAGCTGCGTGCAGGATGGGGCCTGAATGCAGAAAAGCCATAAATAGGGCCCCTGGGGTGGGGGGTGCCCAGAGCTGGGCTCTGCAGCACACCAGGGTTGGGGTGCTGCAATATCAGCTGACCTCCACACCCTCCAGCCCACACCCGTCCACCCTTCCTGCTCTTAGGACTGTTGAGGGGTTCAGGGGCAGGACGTCACCAGCCTCCTCTCACATGGTTCCAGAAAAGTCTCTTCCCTGTGGAGAGGGACAGGTGAAGGTTGGAGCAAAGTGGGGAGACACAGAAGGCCCCTGGGGTCTTCTTAGAAGACCCTCCTAGAAGCAGTTATCTTAGGCTAAGACATGGCCCAGAGGGGTTCCTAGTGGAGGGGAGCCTGATGAGACCCCAACCTGGCCTCCCTACCCCGCTGAGGAGGCAGGATCGCGCCCCTCCCCAAGCCCAACCGCCCACTCACCGGATCTCGTGTGTGGGTGCTGGGTTCACCTCGATTCTCTCACCAAAAAACACCGGCAGCATCCGGGGTCTCATCTCAAGTGCCGGGGAGTTTGGGGGCAGGGAAGGGGGCTGTCGGGAAAGCCACAAACTTGGGGTTAAGCACTGTGGCCTTCGCTCCTTGCCGCACGAGCTTGGACTAGAGGCCTGCTTCGCTGGGGCCCCCCCGAGGGGGTAGCCCCTGCCACACCTGTGTCTGTGACACACCTGCTCCAGAAGGGACATGCAGGTGGGCAGGTCCCAGGCAGGAGGGTGTGCTCCGGGTTTGCCCAGTCACCTCTTGTGGAAGCTGCGGGGTGTCTCCCTGGAGCGCAGAGTGTGACTGGCCATCCCAGGGTAGCAGCTGATCTCCTTCTGAAGTGACTCCTGGGTGGAGGGGTCGTGAACTCAGACTAAGTTCCAACTGCCCCAGTCTCCCCAGGTGAGGAGAAATCACAGTGGATGGTGTTTGCTGAGTCCCAGCCCCACCAGGCACTGCTGGTGTGCCCCCAATCTCATTCATCTGGAGGGGAAAGCTGTCTGAGCAGCCCTGTTTACAGACACTAAAATGCCAAAGGCTAAGGCCGCACCCCAGGCTGCACAGCTAGGACCAGGCAGCCTGGCTCCAGCCTGCTCCCCCACTCATGCCCCGCCTCCCCTGCCCACGGGGCAGCTCTCCACTGCCCACCATGGCCCACCCAGAGCACCAGCCCAAGCACTCCCACCTCTCGTGTGCCAGGGCTGCCTCTGCACTTTGCCCATGCTGTTCCCTGTCCCAGGCATGTCCTTCCAGTTGCTCCTCTTAGTCCTGTGTGGGCATCAGCTCCTGGTCTTCCCAGGAGAGGAGGGTCCCTGGAGTGCCCCCCTCTGCTGCCATCTCTGTGGCCCTCCAGTGTGTCTGTCTCCCCCAAACTGTAAGCTCCTTAAGGTCCAGGGACCAGTAGCCTCTCTAACCCCAGCAGAGATGAGATCGCACAGGTGCAAAGCAGTCCTCTCCCCCTGACCTGTGAACCCCCGGGTCAGGCCTAAGCCGGTCAGATCTGGGACCAGCCTATCCCCAGTTAACCACAGTGCCCCCAGCACAAGGACAGGGGCCACAGAGAGAAAGGACATGAGGCTTGGAGAAGGAAAAGGTCCCCCCAAGGCCATGAGCTGCTGCCCTCCAGGTGACCTGTCTCTCCCTGGCATTTGCACCGAGTTGAATGCCCCATAACGGGTCACTGAGTTGAATGACCCATACAGGTCAGCGGCGGCCCTCCCAGTGTGCGGCCGGCGAACAAAGGCCTTGGGTCCTCATTGCCAGGCATGCGGCCACCAAGACTGTAGATGTGGCTAAAGGACGTAGGATGGGGAGAGGACCCCGGATGATCTGTGGGCCCATTCTGAAGTAGGGAGACAAGAGCACCAACCTCCAGGTTCTGGTGAGGACTGAGTAAGCCAAAGCGGGCAAGTGAGGGAAAGTGCTCCCTGCAGTGATCCCTTGCATGAGTCAGCACAAGCTGCCTTGTGTTGAGATGGTGAGTCCTTTCCGTGAGGTCTGGGGCTCCTCTCTGGAAACAGGTATAATCCACACCCTTTTGAGCCCGAGACAACAGCATTCCTACATTCCAGAAGTAAGCACTCATCGCTCCAGGAGACTGAATTTTTAAAAAAGACAGTGACAGTGACAAGCCTCGGACACCTGTGACATGCTCTGTAGTTCACTGTTAAGTCAACACTGATCCCAGCTACTCTATGACTTGGCACTTAGAAAAATAACAGTCCCGGGGCCCTCCCTGGTGGCGCAGCGGGTTAAGGCACAGCACTAAGAAGCTAAAGCCACTTCAGCATGAGTTTGGTCCCCGCCCCGGAGGTGACCACATGGTGTGGCAGACCTCTCCTGACCCGCCCGCTGCTCCCCTCAGCAGTGTACTTTGTCGATCTCCCTGTTCTGCTCCCCACTCTGTCTCTGGTGAATCCTCTCACTGCTCTGCACCTCTGGCCTGTACCCCAGTTCTGTATCCATAAATAAATAAATCTTAAAAAAAAAGAAAAAAGAAAAATAACACTCTCCTCAAGACATCATCTGAAGTGTGATATTGCCCCAGTGTGTGGGGGTGTCTGCTGAGCACCTACTACTTGTGAACACCCAAGTCTGCCAAGCCATGTGGGTGGCATGGGGCACAGCGCCTCCTGGGCTGTCTTGTTCAAGAGGGGGAGATGGGGCCACTGAAGAGGAGGAGGGGTGTCGTGAACATGGGCCTCCAGTCTGGGAGGTGCTTCTTTGGCCCAGATGGGTGGGAGGGCTGGGAGTGAGAGGTTCTGCTGCTGGCTTGTGTCACCCCAAGGAAAGAATAATGCCTTGCTCATACGCAGCCTTGGTGCACCTGGGTCGACCTGGAGCAGAGAAGCTGCCAGAACTCCCGATTCCGCCCAACGTGAGCGCGACCCGATTCCGGTGGGAACTGGCTCACCCACTGGCTGCCAGAAGAGAAGACAAGACTCGATTCACAGGCTGGGCTGTGAAGCCAGAGCTCTGGGCACCGCTTTCCAAAGGCCCCAGTGGAAAACATCTGAAATCCACCCAAGCTGGAAGCGCCCACAGAGATACGAGAAGCCGGCAAAAGCCCAGACACAGGCTGGCGTCCACGGGGCCTGGGTGGCGAGACAGCTCCGGAAGTGGCCCCTGGGACCCAGGACCGCCCCACCCTTGCCTCTGGGGAGGGGCCAGAAGAGAGGACAGTGGCCATGGGCAGTGCCAGCCTCCCCACAGCGTCCGGGTATCCAGAAGCTCCAAACCCAGCCTTTCTGGCTGCAGGGAGATTTTAACGTCAAGATGGCAGCGACTGCCCGTGGAAGCCAGCCAGGCTGGAGAGCGGCCAAGAAGGCACGCCGCTGGCCGGGAGGTGGCTGGAAAGGACAGACAGGCCCCAGACCAGAGCCTATTCCCATGGGGGCTGCCCAGGTGGGGACGGGGCTGGGTGCACTCTCCCCTCCTGCCCCCCCACCTGCCAGAGCTGACCTTGACTGACCAGAGGGAAGGAGGCTCCTCATGGCCTGTTCCACAGGAGGTGATGCTGAGCCCCTTGGTGGGGGGGGCCTGCTCATTTGTAAAATGAGGCCTGTTGTGTGTGAGCCCCTGCTGAGACCCAGTGGGAATGCCTGAGGCACAGGCTGACCAGTGGAGGGGTGGGCGTGGGGGAGGGGGCCACAGGGATCTCCTGGCAGCTCTGGGCCACAGGCGCAAGTGAGCCCCATGCACAGAGGAGCAGGATCCCACAGCCAAGCACCCAGTCTCTGGATGCTGTGCCCCTGCTAGGACGGGGCATAGCCTGGCAGCCCCGCCGCCAGCTCTACCTAGGGGTCAGACAGGGCCCCGTCTAGCCTTGGGGGTGCAGGCTGGCTCCAGATCTCCAAGGCAAGCAGGGTGTGGGGGTGGGTGAGTGGAGCCCAAGGCCAGCATCCAGAGACAGTGGCCCTGGCCGCCCGCCCCACTGCCTCACCCAGTAATTCCTGCCAGGCTGGAGAGCCTCACTAGTGGGCCAAAGGCACTTGGGGCGCTTTGGAGGTCCACTCCGTGGCACAGCCCACAGGCCAGTAAAGCTCTGCTGAAGAGCCTGTGCCTGGGAGCAGCGGCACCTGCAGACCCTGGCTGGCGAAGTCACATAGGAACAGCACAACGGTGTCGGTGCCCAGCCTGGAGACACGCATGCACGCACGCACACACACGCATGCACGCGCACACACAAGCATGCACACACGCATGGACGCGCGCACACATGCACACCCACATGCATGTACGCGCGCGCGCACGCGCTGCAGTTGCCACAGCGTGGAAGCTGGCAAAGCTGCGCTGCCCAAGGAAGTGCGAGTCCAGTTCATTCAGGGACCAACAAGCCCCTGTCAGCACAGGAGCAGGCAAAAGCAGGGGCCCAGCACTCACTGCTGCTCGGGAGAGGGTAAGGCCACCAGGGGGAACCCACAGTCCCAGTGGGGGGTCCTCAGTGAAGGCACAGGAGGCCTTTCGCAGCTGAAATGGCCTCTCAAGGCACCTGGCCTTACCGGCCAGCGGCCCCTCCTGGGACAACTGGAATTAAACTTGAATATCTCCGGCAGGCACCTGGGATTTGAGACCAAAAGTGCATAGGCTGGGCTAAAGCTGACCTTGCCCTTGGAAGAAGGAGGGGTACAGAGCCCCCCCAAGGGCACCTAGAGGCTGCTTACCCTCCCCCAACATAGCACTACAGGGGTGCTGAACAGCCAAGAATAGAGCAGGCTGCTCCCCAGGGACCCCAAGGCTCCAGGGCCAGGCTCAGGCCCCCAACATCAGCAGAGGGCTGGCAGGGTGGCACTTAGAAATAGGGTCTTGGGCCCTCCCTGGTGGCACAATGGGTTAAGTGCAGCACTATGAAGCTGTCCGCAGCCACTGAGTATGAGTTCGGTTCCCCGCCAGGGAGGTGACCCACATGGTGCAGCAGACCTCTCCTGACCTGTCCGCTGCCCCCCCCCCCAGCAGTGTGTTTCAGTAGAGCTGCCTGTTCTGTTCCCCACTCTCTCTGGTGAATCCTGTCACCCCCCACAACTTTGTCTTGTACCCCAGTTCTTATATGCATAAATAAATAAATCTTAAAAAAACAAAAGAAATAGGGTCTTTGCAGATATGATGAGGCCCCGCTGGCCCTAAATCAATGACTGGCGGCGCCTTGCAAGAAGGGGAACTGCACTGGGGACACGCAGAGGGAAGACAGTGCGAGCCTGAGGCAGAGGTGGCCTGCGTCCCAGAGGCAGGGGCTGCAAGCTGCCCCAGAGGCCAAAGGACACATGGGTGGGTCGTGGAGAGAGACACGACCTTCCTGACATCAAGGCCTCAGCCTTCTGGCCCCAGAACCCTAAGATGGAATTTCTGCTGTTGGGAGCCACACGCCATTGGCATTTTGCTATAGCAGCCTGGGAACAAGGGAATAGACAGCGACAAGATTCTCCCAGCCATGAGAGGGAAGTTCCCCACCCAGGCCACAAGAACCCCCTGGGAGGCTGATGGGCTTGGGACAGGCCTCCAGTCCCCGACAACTCGGCACTGGGGCTTCATAGATCTCACAAGGGCCGGGACTCCCAGGGACACACCCTAAACCCTGGGAAATGAGGGACTGTCCCCTGGTCAGCCCACCCAGGATGAAGCAGAAGGGCTGGAGGGCAGTGCCGGCTTCTAGCATGTCCTCCCCTCTCTCGTCACCACCTCCCTTTCTGCACACAGGTTTCTCCCACACACCTGGCTCTCTACTACTGCACTTGCTCAGGCACCCTGATGACAAGAAACACACCTGTGAACCTGCCAGGGTCCATGTGGCTATGCTTGTCTCCTCAGGCGATCTGTTGGTCCAGCTCTCCAGTTAGCATGCAGCTATCTGTCCATCTTTTGGTCACCCTGTTGGCCCTCCATTATCTATGTCCTCTCACCTACCCAGCCATCCATCGATGCACCTCTTTTCGTTCGTCCGTCCATCTGTCCATCCATCCCTCCATCCATCCATCCACCCATCCATCCATCCAACCCATCCATCCTTCCTAACTGTGGGCTCTCTTTTCCTCCCTCCTCCATCCTATTTCTCCATCACAGAGAAAATGGGAAACTCAGAAAGCCCCTAAAAGGTGGCTGAGATGGGAGGTCTCCCAGGGCCACCTGGGCATACCGAGGCCTGCGCCCTCGGCCCCAGCCACGTCACTGTCACTCTCATTGGCTGAAGGCAGCTCTCTGAGTCTGGGCCTAGGGAGCGTGCCCTCGCCCTCGGGGAACTGCACCCTGGCTCTGGGAGATGGCCGGCCCCCAGGTGCCACCTGCCCTGAGCCCAGATGCCAGCGGCCAGGGAAGCCATGGCTGCCGGGAGGAGCTAAGGCCCACAGCAGCCTCTCCTCCACCACAGACATGACAGCTGCCTGTCACCCATCCCAGGGAGAAGAGACGGCTCTTTCCTCCAATACATGCTCCAGAGAACATAGCTTAAGTTTCCAAATGCCTGTAGGAAGGGGCAGCACTGGCCCCCTCAACTACCCATATCAATTTGGGGAAAGGTATCTGTGACGCCCTCTCATCCCCTGTGACCTGTCCCTCCCATGCCCCTCTGTCCCCCAGCTTGGCCGGGCAGGAAGGGAGGAGAAAGGACATCAACGGCCGCTCCACCTGCAGCTGTTAGGGTGGCCCAGAGGGCCTCTGTCTGTTCGGTGCCTCCCTCGCCCGCTGGTGAGTTGTCTACAGGATGGAGGCCGGGTGCACAGGCCAAGCTCCTGGCCCAGTGGGCAGCAGGGGCTATGCCTGAGTCCTGAGCAGAGCAAGCCCCACCCCTGTCCAGACAAGTCCCACACACAGCCTGTTCTCACAGGCCTCCCTCGCAGTCTCGGATTTGGTTTCTAATTTGGGGGGTGTGGGAGCTCATGATGCCTTTAAAAAAAATAAAAATAAAGCAGTCATAAGCACACGTTTTAAAGCTCAAGTGGAATTTTACTTTCTGGCCTGGCCTGGCCTGCAGGGCCCAGCTCTGGCCTCTCCTGCCTTACTCCCTGGGCACCAGCAGCACTGGTCTCCTTGCCACCACTTGAACATACCTATCTTTTCCTGCCCCAGGACCTTTGCACTTGCCATGCTCCTGTCAGCACATACTGAAACCAAATCTACTTCCTGGCTACTCACTGTCACTTCCCTGACCACCCTGTCTAAAGGAGCGCCACCCTCACCTGGCTTTTTTGTCTTAAGGGCACCTGGTACCGCCACAGCATACAGCTGGTGCTCAATATGGAATGGTGGGACAAAGGAGTGATTCTCAACCTCCATTTGGATCAGGTATCACAGGAATATTTGCTTCAAAGAGGATATGAAAACCATGGTCAAGGTAAGTGCAGGAGAGTCACTGCCCCCCGCCTGACCCCCCAAGGCCTTTTCTGTCCTATCTGGTAGAGCCCCTGCATCCGTGGGCTCCTGCACAGAGGGCCCAGCCAATTAATTCCAGCAGGAGTGTGTGCGTGCATGCTGGTATGTAGGGTGGAGCTACACACTTCCTGATGAAGAAGACATGCCGGGATCTGGATTCAGAGCAAAGACAGCCAGCGTGCCAAGAAGGCTGTTCTGGAGCTGATGGGCACAGGCTGGGCTTGCCTGCCCGTCACCCCAACAGTGTCTTCTCGGGCCCTTGAACATGGGCTCTGACAGCAGGACGGATGTGAGCGTGCAAGGTGGGCAGTGCCTGCGTCTACTGACATCTGCTCCCAGAATGCAGCTCGGAGGGTCTGGAGCCAGCGGGGGTCGGGGAATTATCAAACGCCAGACTAGTGAAGTTTAACAGGATTTAGCTGGAGGTGGGGCCCACAGGGCTGTTAAGGGTTAGGTGGGTGGGTGGGACCCCAGGGCTGAGAAGAGGTTGCCCCTAGTCACCGCTGCTTTTTTAAAATTTTTATCCAAAAGCAGAACCTAGAATTCCACAGGCTCATGCAATTTTGTTTTTTGATTAAAAAAAAATAGCGAAACCTCACTTAGGTGGTTTATTAGCTTCATGGTGAAAAGTCAGGTAACAGGAGGCGGAAGGGCCTAGTGTCTGCAGCCAGAGTCCCTGGGTCCATCCCAGCACAAACATTCCACCTGGGGGACTCTGGGCCTCAGTCACCCTCTGGCAAATGGGGGCAATGAGAACCCCCAGATCTCACTGGACTATGGCGAAGATGAAACAAGTGGGCACAGTCACAGGCTTAGCTCAGGCCCCAGCAGGAGTGATACCTCAGAACCAGGTATCACTATCTGCACAGAAATAGCCCCGGCCTTGGCCTTCAAGCCAAACTACAAGACCAGGGACGTGGGGGTCCCAGGCTGGCATCTAGTTAACGAGGAGGAGAAAAAAGCAAACCCACCAGTCGCGAGGACACGTAAACCAGTACATGGTGCTGGCTGGCCTCGACTGGCCTGGCTGGACAGAGGACCTAGAAGACCCTCCGTAAAGAGGATTCTGGGTCATCCAAAGGAGAAGGCTAGTCCTGGACTTTTTCTTTGAGCCCAATTGTGTAAGACATGGCGGGGATTTATCCCAGCCTCAGCTGCCCAAACAGCCCCAACCGGGGTGCCAGGGACCCATCCATGCCTGTGGAGGGCAGGCGGCTTAAGACAGCAAGATCAGTTTCACTGCAAACAGCCCCGTTGCTTCTGTCTACCCCTGCAAGTCCCCCCACGCCTCTCCCTCTTCCCGCCAGCGCCCCAAAGAGAGACCAAAGTTCAAATTCACAGCATGCTTTTGGTCTGTGACTCCCAAACTGCATACTGTAACCACCTAGAGAGGTTTTTAAATCCTGCCCAGGTTGCACCCTGAAATGAGAGTGCCTGGGGTGCAGGGCCTGGGTGTTTGTTAAAGATCCCCAAGTGATTCTAACACCAAGTCGAGTTGGGAACCCACAGGAGCAGGGGAAGGAAGGGCCCCCTTTCTTCCTGCTGTTGAAGGGATTTTAACTGGGGAGCCACTGACTGCCCACATGGGAGGGACCGAACAAGCATCACCAGGGCCCCAGGAAACCAGAGCAGGGTAGAGCTGAGTTGTACAAACACCCCAAAGAAGAGGCTAAGCCCTGCAGAACGCAAGGCAGGGGCTGCTCAGCCATCGCCTCCCAGGTAGGAAGGAACCGGGGCCAGGGAGCCCAGGCAATCGCTCCGGCCCATGGGACGGCCAGTCCCAGCTGGATCCTTCCCCCATCCCCTGGAGGCCCCGCTAGGTCTGGCAGGAGAAAAACCTCGGGTCCCCTAGTCTGGGGTTCCAGCTTCCCCCAACACCACATGGGCTCCAAGGCAGGACCCCCCACACCCCAGAATGGGCAGAAGGGTTCTGTCTGGCTGTTTTGTTTTTTTGTTTTTTTAGGTTTTGACTTTGGCAGTGAACTGGGAAGAAGGTCCCTGGCAGCCAGGGCCGCGGGCACAGACTTCTGCAGTGCTGAGGCCTGGGGTTCAAGACCACCTAGGCAGAGCCCACTTTTCTGGGAACCTTCCATGCAGTTCTTCCCTCCCTCCCCTCCACTTTCTTAATGACAGTAAGAAACACTCACTAGGAACACCCCCCAGTCAGGCAGAGGGCTGCAGGTCCTGGGGTCAGGCAGACCACCCCCACCTTCATGCCTGTTCCTACCTGGGCTGACACTGGGCCACCTTCTTGGTGGGGGTGGGGGGCGGGGAGCCCAGCCCTGGCTTCCGAGACATGGCCACAGGGGTGCAGCAAAGGCAGACCCTCACCCACCCTCTGACCTGTCCCTCCTTGCTGCGCTAAGGGGCTTGCTTACCGCTCTAGCCTCGCTGGGTCCGGGGGGCTCCGAGGAGGCACCGGCGCCCCCGGCGCGGGCGTCGAGGATGCCAGGCGCCAAAGAGTAGAAAGGGGGGCTGGGGCTGGGGCTGGGGGGCAGCCCGGAGTCAGGGCTGTCCAGCAAGCCCTCCCGGCTCTTCTCCTTGAGGCTCTCCTCCATGCCCTGCAGATGCAGGTGGCCCACCATGTCTGGGGGGTGCGGGGCGCGGGCCCCCGGTTCCTCGGGGGTCTCCACCACCGCACCGGAGCCGGCGGCGGCGGCTTGCGGGCTGAGCGCCCGGAGGCGTCCTGCGAGCAGAGCCCAGAAGCGCCGCGTCAGGCCCTGACGCCCCCGCGCTCCCGGGTCTGGCTGCCGCCGGTCAGCCGATCGGGGCGCACCGCCCCCAGGAGGGGCTGCCAAGC